GTGAGCTTAAAAGGTCATCTTTTGTACAGGTTTTTTCCAATGTGCCAGTCTTTCATGTGATCATGATTGCCATGCTACACCACAAGGGGGCGCTTGTTTTTGTAAGACGGGGTATCGCCTGGACCCGACTGACAATCGTACATGTATTGGTAAGGTCACCCTTTTTATCAAATTTTTAAAGGTCTTCAGATATAATTACAGAAAAAATTTTATGCACCAATTGAAAGATTAGGTTATGTAAAAGTTATGTAAAAGTTATGTTATAGTTATGTAAAAAGTTATGTAAAAGTTATGTTATAGTTATGTAAAAGTTATGTGTAAGTTAAGTAATAGTTATGTATAAGTTATGTTATATTTATGTATAAGTTATGTTAAAGTTATGTAAAAGTTATGTGTAAGTTTTTTTTTTTTGTGCATTTTTATGAGTAATCCATTTTGTTTTTTTTTTTTTTTTGTGTTCAGATTTTAATGAGTGTGAACATTGGGGATTTTGCGACCAGAAATGTGTGAATTCCCTAGGGTCATACCAGTGTAGCTGTTTCCATGGTTACACACTCCATAACAACCGAGCATGTGTCACCACCGAAGTTGGTAAGAGCCAAATTCAGAAATCAATGGAATTTTTGATAATAGAAGACTGACTCAACCTGTTTATTGTGAAATGTTTGTAACAATTTAAGTGTGTCTTTTCTTGAGGTGAGTAATGGAGTATGATTTCAATTGTGGTAGAGAAATCTTTTTTCTTTATTAAATTAGATGAAATAGAATTCATTTGGCCAATCTAAATCATTTGTGAGAGTAGAGCAATGGGACATAGAGAAATCATGTGAGGGCACATCTCTGTACAAGTATGGAAGAGTGTATTCATTTGAGGGAGCGTTATAAAATGGATGAAGGTATGGAATGTCAAAATTATGTTTATATAAATGAATGGTGTGTTTACCTGCTTATTTGAAATTCAAGTGTTTATGTCCTATAATACTACTTTTCACAATTTTGTTCAGTTGCCTCCCGCCCTGTGTTTGTCGGCCTTGAGGATCGAATCATACGTATGAGTACCAAGGGAGATAATCAGTCTACTATTATACTTGGTGAGACCGAGGATTTAGAACTGGATGTCCGACGGAATCTAATCTTCTGGATTGACAGCAAAGCTAACAAGGTTATGCCTCTTACTTATATACATAACGTTTCTGGTAGATTTGACACACAATTAAATTTTAACATTCACTGGCCATTTAGAGACAGTGACTCATGTGAAATTTGATATATTTGTTTCAGAATTCTGTGTTTGTCGATCGATATGCTGATTTAAACAAATATTATTTCTGATCAATGATTATGATGTTGATCACTTCTCTTCCACAGTACCATAGTAATACATTTTTATCTATCGTTGTCAGTTAAGCTAAGTGATCTAATAGGGACTCATACAAGGTCATACCAACAAACTTTGTGTGTAGGACCTTCCCCTACACAATGTAGTATTAAGAAATAGACCATACAATGTATTTGATTAAAACTGTTAATTATAATAAGTGTTTGGTCCAGGTTATTGCAAGATGAAAAATTAACAAATGTGTGAAAACTAAATGTAATTAATGATGTCATTATACATTATTATGACCTCACAATGATGTCTGAATTTTGACCCAACTGTGCTGTCAGAATTATGACATCACTATGACATCACAGAATATTATGACATCACTGTGATGTCACAGAGTATCTTGACTTACCATGAATATTCAAAATTGTTCAAGTCACAAAAAATTCCACTTGGTGATAAGCGTAATGATTATTTTTGAAGTAAATGTCACAGGTATATCAGGCAAGTCTGCAGCGGCCACAGGAAAACAAAACGCTCCCCTTTAATGAGTTGTACAGGCCCTACAGCATTGCATACGACTGGATCACATACAACCTTTACCTGGTGGACCAGCGTGCCAGGGTCATTGATGTCTTCTCCACTCAAACCGGGTATCAGACCAATGTTGTTGGCAACGACCTTCAGGATCCCAGAGCTGTGGCTCTAGACCCAACTGAAGGGTGGGTCCACAATTCCCAATGCAATATTTAAAATAATTTTATATATGATATGGGAAAGGAAAAAATGTTGAAAATACCAATAAAGAGTGTCTCTGTATCTCATTGCGAGGACAGTATACATTTATTACATTTTGTGTACTGTATATAAGTTTGTATCCAAATATACAGGCATTATTTAACAAATATTTCTATCAGAACCATTTTCTTGGTATTCAGTTTCCTGTATCTTTGATGACCACAGATATAGTGATATCAAATCTCCTGCCAATAATACCATCTAATGGAACTTTCATTTTTGAAGGAGAAGGACGAAGAAAGCTACAAAATTCCAAAGAAATAAATGAACTTGGTGGGGGAAAGATCAAGATGAAAGCAGTGATATAGTGATATGTATGGTCCTGGTAATAATACCAGATAAAGCAGTGAGGCTATAGTGTTTATGGTGTATGGTTGGTAAGTGTGGGGGGGGGGGGAGACAGATAAAGCAGTGAGGCTATAGGGTGTATGGTGTATGATTGGTAAGTGGGGGGGAGACAGATAAAGCAATGAGGCTATAGTGTTATAGTGTGTATGGTTGGTAAGTGGGGAGGGCGAGACAGATCAAGCAGTGAGGCTTTTGTGTATGTGGTGTATGGTTGGTAAGTGTGGGGGGGAGACAGATAAAGCAGTGAGGCTATATGGTGTATGATTGGTAAGTGGGGCGGGGGGGGGGGAGACAGATAAAGCAGTGAGGCTATAGTGTATATGGTGTATGGTTGGTAAGTGTGGGGGGAAGACAGATAAAGCAATGAGGCTCTAGTGTATATGGTTGGTAAGTGGGGAGGGGGGAGACAGATAAAGCAGTGAGGCTATAGTGTATATGGTGTATGGTTGGTAAGTGTGGGGGGGGGGGAGACAGATAAAGCAGTGAGGCTATAGGGTGTATGGTGTATGGTTGGTAAGTGGGGGGGAGACAGATAAAGCAGTGAGGCTATAGTGTATGTGGTGTATGGTTGGTAAGTGGGGGAGGGAAGACAGATAAAGCAGTGAGGCTATAGTGTATATGGTGTATGGTTGGTAAGGGGGGGGGGAGACATAAAGCCGTGAGGCTATATGGTGTATGGCTGGTAAGTGGGGGGGAGACAGATAAAGCAGTGAGGCTATAGGGTGTATGGTGTATGGCTGGTAAGTGGGGGGGAGACAGATAAAGCAGTGAGGCTATAGGGTGTATGGTGTATGGCTGGTAAGTGGGGGGGGAGACAGATAAAGCAGTGAGGCTATAGTGTATATGGTGTATGGTTGGTAAGTGGGGGGGGGAGACAGATAAAGCAGTGAGGCTATAGTGTATGGTGTATGGTTGGTAAGTGGGGGGGGGGAAGACAGATAAAGCATTGATGGTTGGGGGGAGGGGGGAGACAGATAAAGCAGTGAGGCTATAGTGTATATGGTGTATGGCTGGTAAGTGGGGGGGGGAGACAGATAAAGCAGTGAGGCTATAGTGTATATGGTGTATGGCTGGTAAGTGGGGGGGAGACAGATAAAGCAATGAGGCTATAGTGTTATAGTGTGTATGGTTGGTAAGTGGGGAGGGAGAGACAGATAAAGCAGTGAGGCTATAGTGTATGTGGTGTATGGTTGGTAAGTGGGGGGGGGAGACAGATAAAGCATTGAGGCTCTAGTGTATATGGTTGGTAAGTGGGGAGGGGGGAGACAGATAAAGCAGTGAGGCTATAGTGTATATGGTGTATGGCTGGTAAGTGGGGGGGGGGAAGACAGATAAAGCATTGAGGCTCTAGTGTATATGGTTGGTAAGTGGGGAGGGGGGAGACAGATAAAGCAGTGAGGCTATAGTGTATGGTGTATGGTTGGTAAGTGGGGGGGAGGGAGACAGATAAAGCAGTGAGGCTATAGTGTATATGGTGTATGGCTGGTAAGTGGGGGGGGGGGAGACAGATAAAGCAGTGAGGCTATAGTGTATATGGTTGGTAAGTGGGGAGGGGGGAGACAGATAAAGCAGTGAGGCTATAGTGTATATGGTGTATGGTTGGTAAGTGGGGGGGGGGAGACAGATAAAGCAGTGAGGCTATAGTGTATATGGTTGGTAAGTGGGGAGGGGGAAGACAGATAAAGCAGTGAGGCTATAGTGTATATGGTGTATGGCTGGTAAGTGGGGGGGAGACAGATAAAGCAGTGAGGCTATAGTGTATATGGTGTATGGTTGGTAAGTGGGGGAGTGAAGACAGATAAAGCAGTGAGGCTATAGTGTATGGTTGGTAAGTGAGGGGTATATGGTGTATGGGGAGACAGATAAAGCAGTGAGGCTATAGTGTATATGGTGTATGGCTGGTAAGTGTGGGGGGGGAGACAGATAAAGGGTATATGAGGTAGTGTATATGGTATGGTGTAGTGGTTGGTAAGGGGGGAGACAGATAAAGCAGTGAGGCTATAGTGTATATGGTGTATGGTTGGTAAGTGGGGGGGGGAGACAGATAAAGCAGTGAGGCTATAGTGTATATGGTGTATGGTTGGTAAGTGGGGGGGGGGAGACAGATAAAGCAGTGAGGCTATATGGTGTATGATTGGTAAGTGGGGGGGGAGACAGATAAAGCAGTGAGGCTATAGTGTATATGGTGTATGGTTGGTAAGTGGGGGGGGGGAGACAGATAAAGCAGTGAGGCTATAGTGTATATGGTGTATGGTTGGTAAGTGTGGGGGGGAGACAGATAAAGCAGTGAGGCTATAGTGTATATGGTGTATGGTTGGTAAGGGGGGGGAGACAGATAAAGCAGTGATTATTACTCATATGAAACAAACATTAAGGGGGGGGGAGACAATAAAGCAGTGAGGTATTGTCTATAAACCAAAGTCCAGTCACCTTACTCGAAGACCAGCTGTTCTTGGCAGATGCCACACGGACAGGTGTCCTTCGTGTCAGCAAGTTTGGAAAGGATGCTCCGAAACAGATTTACATAAACAAACTGCTCAAGATGAAAACCGTGAAGGTGCTTCAGCGATACCCAGATGTTATCATTAACAAACGAGGTGAGAAATGTTTAAATGTCATGGCCAGCATATTATTTTTGCCATATCCAGTTTTGTGCTTTTGGGATTTTTTTGTTTCATATGAAAACGTGACATATATAGGATTCCTGCTATTGTGTTTTTTTGTTTTTATGAAACTTCGATAAATAAAGTTACCCACTTTGAATTTACTCTAAATCCAGAGTTGAATATTCCAGCTGGCCATCCTCAATTTTCTTTCTCAAATGTAACTTCAGTATTAAACTGGCATTCTAAAATTCAATTTTGAGTCAAATCAAAACTGAAAAATGGCTGCAAGCATCCTGTTTTGGAATCTGGGCCTACTAGTGGTTTTCTTGGTAATCTTTATAGACAGAGGGTTCTGCAGAACATTCACTTCTGTAGAACACAGGTTTACAATCGTTAGTTTCTATGATGGTGAATATTGTTTATTCAGAAAACTTCAAATCTGGTGTATGTTTCATAAACATATGAACATTCCTTAAATTAGGGAAATATATAAAAGACAGTATCGTTGGAGAAACAGAAAAATCCTTTTCAACTTTACGATGCATTTCTGTGGAAAATTTAATCTCTTTTCATAGCCAGTCCATGTCATGCAGCCAAGTGCCAACATTTTTGTGTACTCAGCCATGTCAACGACAACAAAGGTCTGGGATACAGGTGTTTATGTGATGTTGGATTTCACCTTGCTAAAAATCAGGTCAATTGTACAAGTAAGTCACCTGTCAGGACTACTGTCCAGATTAACAGGCTCATTATATCTACAGTTAAATCAAGTTTCTGCCACTTCTCTGGTTCACTCCCTCAGTAAGAACACTCACGTTTTTCCATCGACTGGCCATAAAAAGTTTTTATAAACTTATGTGACTGTAACTTGTTTTGCTATTGTTGTAAAATAAAAGTTAAAGTAAGAGAAAGTGTTTTGAAAAGTTCTACCAGGAAAAGCTTTCATAGGTAAAATTCATTTGCCCTTGACATATACTCAAGGTCATTGATGACCTCTGACAACTGTGTCAGAAGTCTGTGATAAGAGAGAATTATTCAGACCTTCAAATTTACATATTTAATGTCTCTATGTCCCCATTTCTTGTCTTCTGATAAAACAGTTATTGTGATAATTGTGATAATTGTGATAATTGTGACTAAGAGATAATATAACCAAATGTCTTTCACTGTTTTAGAGACCAGCTCCATTTTAATGTTTGCTGCAAAATATTCTCTCCGAGGAATACCTGTTAGAGACACCAGCTACAAGGTCGATGCCATCCCTCAGGTCTTTGCTAAGAACTCTGGTCGACAAGGAGTAAATTACGTTGCTCTTGACTATGATGCAGAAGACGAGAAGATTTACTTCAGCGACATCAGGAACTATGCTATAATGCATGCTAAAGTCAACAGCACAGATAGTAGGTCAAACTATATAATTCAAGATGGAATTGTATTGTACAAAGAGCCCAAAGGAGGAGAAATTCTTCTGGACAGATTAAATGATTTTGTCAAAATCTAATTGAAGTAATATGTCTTAGATATGATACAGGAGGTGGGGTCCTAAATTTATGTGAACCGTGGGAAATCTTACAGTTCTTTGTCTTCTGTTACTGTGAAACCCACTTAATATCATGTTCCATTTGTCAGAGGGAAATGTGATAATAAGCAGAACATGATATTAACAGTTGGCACATTTATCCTAACATCTAAACCTGAAAGTTAATTTTCAGATGCGCCAAACTGACTTGTTTCTAACAGAAATGGTTCGAAGACAAGAAATTTTTAATATGATTTGTTTTTTACATAAGAACAGTGATTTTCCTCGACTTTTGTTCGTTTATTCTTTGAAATATCTAAACTGCTATCATAAATTATTGTGAACAATCATGACAATTTATGTCATATTCATTTGCACATGGACAGACTTGTACATGACACTGCTATGTCATCAACTGAATTTTGCCGTATAATTTCATCCATTACTGTATAGGCTTCATAATGGTGCTTCATCGCAAAGTTGATATATATACAGTTTGTATCTTTGCAACTTCGATAAAATGTGTGCTGAAGATCACAACTTGATTCTTGCCAATAGAAATAGCCAACAGAGTGTGAATTGTTCACCTTTGCAACGCCATGTTTCATTGGCTGTTAAATTAGTGGTAATTTATAATGGTCAATCAGATGTTGTAAAACACGACATAGGATTTCATAACATTTTACTGTCATCTTACCAGTGCTGGCGATAATTTAAGAAATAAATGATTTAAAGAAATATTAGAACATCAACGTTATGACATTTTGATGGATTCGATTTCTAATCTTTATTGTAGATGATACGTTTTTCACCCAGAATGAATCATCTGGGAAAAATGATTACCATATCAGCAAAGATATAAGCGACCCAGCAAAGCTATTCAGGACATGTGTGATAATTTTTCTATGATAAATTACGCTTAATCCAGACTTCATATTTTAGCATTTGAAGCGTTTTGTCAGAAATGTGTTCTAGTAAATTTAAAAAATGGCAACATTCGTAATGACAACATTGACACATCGCAGTTTGGTGTCACTTAGGTCTTTGTGAAAAGAAACAAAACAAACACAACTTATCGTAAAGTATAGTTCATGGTTGATTCTCTTCTGACTAGACTTCCTTTGACCAAGCTGGACCCTAAGCAGTTAATCTTATTGTTCAGGAGTCAGAAGGTGTGAAAAGTTGGCTAGTAGCACAGTGACAATGTTTACATAATGAATCCATAGCTCCTGTCCTCATTTACCTGTCATTTAGCTGTTTTTTTTTTTTTTTTTTTTGTGATAGTCGGCAAAATCAAGTGATATTAAGTGTTGCCAACATGAATATAAGCGACATTATCAGATGTTGGATTACACAGAATATATAAGAAAAAATCAGTGTTTTAAAGAAATGTGATATTAACCAGAAAGTGACATTAACAGATGTGACATTAAGTGGGTTCCATTGTAATGTAAAGGTGTATTTACATCGAAAAAACAAAGGTATCCATATGTGAAAGGGACTAAATTTTCACACAAAAGGGTAGAAGGAGAGGGATAGGGCCCAATAGGGGAGTAGATTTAAACTTTTAAATTCTTCTTTGGGAAATCCTTAACAAGATAAATATGGATGAAAATATTTGAGTTTTTGCTGTCTAGGTGAGCATTGCAGACCATATATACATGTCACTTGTTCTGATATTTTCTTTTTTATGCTTACGTCAGAGCCAATGCCCTTGACGGTGAAAGATGTACGGTCGGTGGAGGGACTGAGTGTGGATTGGATATCGCGTAACCTTTACTACACCGACTTTTATCGCAGCACAGTGTCCGTCCTACGACTCCATCATCCTGAGGAAACGCGCGTACTGCTGTCGGGCATGGGAAAACCTCGCTCTGTTGTTGTACACCCACTCAAAGGGTAATGCTGTCTTGTTTCACTACAAACATATCTGTCCAACTCTCCAGGGTCTATGTCTGGTATTAACACCATATTGTGTAAAAAAAACTTTTTTTTCAATTTGACAAAGTTCATTTATTTCTGTTTATTCTGAATTTTTTAAGTTCAATAGACCCAAAGGTTCAACTAAAAGATACTTGTGTAACATCTGTTGTGCAGGGAGACAATAGTGCTGATTCAGATTGGCAAAGAATTTCCAGACCTTAAGAGAAATAAGCATACTTAATATTTTGTTTCATTGTTGACAGTTGGCTGTTTTTCTCGGACTGGATGAAGAGTTCCATGCAGAGTCCATACCTTGCACGTACGTATGGTGATGGGAAAAACATGACCAAGATTCGACAATTTGAGCTTGGCTGGCCAAACGGTCTAAGTATTGACTTTGACACAGATCGACTATTCTGGGTGGATGCTTACTTTGACAGGTAAAACAACTGATAGAGATGAAAAATCTGTGTATTATGATTGAGTGAGAGGTTCTAGTGTGAATAGAGCCATGTTTATAAGCTCACATGGTCTGAAGGACCAGTGAGCTTATGCCATACAGCTGGCATCTGTCATCCGTCTGTCATCTTTTTCTGCAAATCGCTACTTGTCATGAGTGACTGAGTGGATTTTGACCAAATTTGATCAGAAGAATCCTTTAGGGAAAGGGAGCAAAATGTTATTATAACAATGGGTCTCAGCCCCCATGAGGCCAGAGGGGCAGGACCTAGTAGTAGAAATAGAGAAAATTCTTTAAAATCCTGCTCCTTCTGTAGGAAAGATTGGATTTTGCCCATATCTACTGCCACAGATTTCAGTTTAACATTCTGACCTTTCTTTTTAAGAAAAGTTCCTATATAAGTTTATATATGAAATGACAGAAATATAGATCCTAAGTACAATAAGGAAATTTCTACAAAGGAGCAGATGCTTCCCACAATTGTTTAGTATCCTTTTGTTTTTTTATCTTACTTGTTTGTAGGATTCAACATTCTGATTTAGACGGTGGTGATGTCAAAACATTGGTTGGTGTTAACATTGCCCATCCATTTGGTATTGTAGCTTATAAAGGTAGGTCAACTGTTAAACAATATGTTGTCTCCTTACTGAAGTCGATATTTCTAAATATTTAGGCATGAAAGTTCTTTGGTTATAATCAGTGTAATAGATAACACAGATATGTGAAGTTACACTCCCTATAAAAAGTACAGATATGTGAAGTAACACTCCCTATAAGAAGTACAGAGTTGTGTTAAGTTACACTCCCTATAAAAAGTACAGATATGTGAAGTTACACTCCCTATAAAAAGTACAGATATGTGAAGTTACACTCCCTATAAAAAGTACAGATATGTGAAGTTACATTCCCTATAAAAAGTACAGATATGTGAAGTTACACTCCCTATAAAAAGTACAAAGTTGTGTAAAGTTACACTCCCTATAAAAAGTACAGAGATGTGTAAAGTTACACTCCCTATAAAAAGTACAGAGTTGTGTTAAGTTACACTCCCTATAAAAAGTACAGATATGTGAAGTTACACTCCCTATAAAAAGTACAAATATGTGAAGTTACACTCCCTATAAAAAGTACAGTGATGTGTAAAGTTACACTCCCTATAAAAGGTACAGAGATGTGAAGTTACACTCCCTATAAAAAGTACAGATATGTGAAGTTACACTCCCTATAAAAAGTACAGAGATGTGTAAAGTTACACTCCCTATAAAAAGTACAGATATGTAAAGTTACACTCCCTATAAAAAGTACAGAAATGTGTAAAGTTACACTCCTTATAAAAAGTACAGAGATGTGTAAAGTTACACTCCCTATAAAAAGTACAGAAATGTGTAAAGTTACACTCCATATAAAAAGTACAGAGTTGTGTAAAGTTACACTCCATATAAAAAGTACAGAAATGTAAAGTTACACTCCCTATAAAAAGTACAGAGATGTGTAAAGTTACACTCTCTATAAAAAGTACAGATATGTGAAGTTACACTCTCTATAAAAAGTACAGATATGTGAAGTTACACTCCCTATAAAAAGTACAGAAATGTAAAGTTACACTCCCTATAAAAAGTACAGAGATGTGTAAAGTTACACTCCCTATAAAAGGTACAGAAATGTGTAAAGTTACACTTCCTATAACAAGTACAGATATGTAAAGTTACACTCCCTATAAAAAGTACAGATATGTGTAAAGTTACACTCCCTATAAAAGGTACAGAGATGTGTAAAGTTACACTCCCTATAAAAAGTACAGATATGTAAAGTTACACTCCCTATAAAAAGTACAGAGATGTGTAAAGTTACACTCCCTATAAAAAGTACAGAAATGTGTAAAGTTACACTCCCTATAAAAAGTACATAGATAAGTAAAGTTACACTCCCTATAAAAGGTACAGAGATGTGTAAAGTTACACTCCCTATAAAAAGTACAGATATGTAAAGTTACACTCCCTATAAAAAGTACAGAGATGTGTAAAGTTACACTCCCTATAAAAAGTACAGAAATGTGTAAAGTTACACTCCCTATAAAAAGTACAGATATGTGAAGTTACACTCCCTATAAAAAGTACAGAGATGTGTAAAGTTACACTCCGTATAAAAAGTACAGTGATGTGTAAAGTTACACTCCCTATAAAAAGTACAGATATGTGTAAAGTTACACTCCCTATAAAAGGTACAGAGATGTGTAAAGTTACACTCCCTATAAAAAGTACAGATATGTAAAGTTACACTCCCTATAAAAAGTACAGAGATGAGTAAAGTTACACTCCCTATAAAAAGTACAGTAATGTGTAAAGTTACACTCCCTATAAAAAGTACATAGATATGTAAAGTTACACTCCCTATAAAACGTACAGAGATGTGTAAAGTTACACTCCCTATAAAAAGTACAGAGATGTGTAAAGTTACACTCCCTATAAAAAGTACAGATATGTAAAGTTACACTCCCTATAAAAAGTACAGATATGTGAAGTTACACTCCCTATAAAAAGTACAGAGATGTGTAAAGTTACACTCCTTATAAAAAGTACAGAAATGTGTAAAGTTACACTCCCTATAAAAAGTACAGAAATGTGTAAAGTTACACTCCCTATAAAAAGTACAGATATGTGAAGTTACACTCCCGGTAAAAGTACAGAGATGTGTAAAGTTACACTCCCTATAAAAAGTACAGAGATGTGTAAAGTTACACTCCCTATAAAAAGTACAGAGATGTGTAAAGTTACACTCCCTATAAAAAGTACAGAAATGTGTAAAGTTACACTCCATATAAAAAGTACAGAGATGTGTAAAGTTACACTCCTTATAAAAAGTACAGAGATGTGTAAAGTTACACTCCCTATAAAAAGTACAGAGATGTGTAAAGTTACACTCTCTGTAAAATGTTACAGATATGTTTCTCTTCACATCAAATATCTCACAGACAAAAATGTCAAAGGTCATATATATTCTGTATGTTAAAGATTGTTATATGTCAGAGGTCAAATACATACCATATGTCAAAGGTCAGGGTTAGCATGACACTGTCCATCAAAGATTATTTACCAATCATAGCTACGTCAGAAGTCAAGGAAGGGTACAACTTTAACAAAGTTTGTGTTTGCTACAGATCATATATACTTTTCTGACTGGAAGCTTGAGTCGCTGATCCGTACAGACTATGAGGGGCGTTATCAGACAACTCTGAGAAGTGGCATAGAGTTTCTACGTGACATCACCATCTATGATAAAACCATACAGCGCAAACCAGGTAATATATCTTATTTGTGTATCTGTTATATACAGAGGATCCCAGGGATCACATCATCCCACACTACACACCCCAGATCTTCACTGTGGGGATCATATTATCCCACACTACACACCCCAGATCTTCACTGTGGGGATCACATCATCCCACAATACACATCCAAGATCTTCACTTTGGGGATCATATCATCCCACACTACACACCCCAGATCTTCACTGTGAGAATCACATCATCCCACACTACACACCCCAGATCTTCACTGTGAGAATCACATCATCCCACACTACACACCCCAGATCTTCACTGTTCGGATCATAAACACACCCCAGATCTTCACTGTGGGGATCACATCATCCCACACTACACACCCCAGATCTTCACTGTGAGAATCACATCATCCCACACTACACACCCAAGATCTTCACTGTGCGGATCATAAACACACCCCAAATCTTCACTGTGGGGATCATATACACACCCCAGATCTTCACTGTGAGAATCACATCATCCAACACTACACACCCCAGATCTTCACTGTGCGGATCATAAACACATCCCAGATCTTCACTGTGAGAATCACATCATCCCACACTACACACCCAAGATCTTCACTGTGGGGATCATATACACACCCCAGATATTTACTGTGGGGATCATATCATCCCGCACTACACACCCAAGATCTTCACTGTGCGGATCATAAACACACCCCAGATCTTCACTGTGAGAATCACATCATCCCACACTACACACCCAGATCTTCACTGTGGGGATCATATACACACCCCAGATCTTCACTGTGGGGATCATATCATCCCACACTACACACCCCAGATCTTCACTGTGGGGATCATATCATCCCACACTACACACCCCAGATCTTCACTGTGGGGATCATATCATCCCACACTACACACCCCAGATCTTCACTGTGGGGATCATATCATCCCACACTACACACCCAGATCTTCACTGTGGGGATCATATCATCCCACACTACACACCCAGATCTTCACTGTGGGGATCATATACACACCCCAGATCTTCACTGTGGGGATCATATCATCCCACACTACACACCCCAGATCTTCACTGTGGGGATCATATACACACCCCAGATCTTCACTGTGGGGATCATATACACACCCCAGATCTTCACACATACACACCCCAGATCTTCACTGTGGGGATCATCATCCCACATACACACCCCAGATCTTCACTGTGGGGATCATATACACACCCCAGATCTTCACTGTGGGATCATATCATCCCACATACACACCCCAGATCACTGTGGGGATCATATCATCCCACACTACACACCCCAGATCTTCACTGTGGGGATCATATCATCCCACACTACACACCCCAGATCTTCACTGTGGGGATCATAAACACACCCCAGATCTTCACTGTGAAAATCACATCATCCCACACTACACACCCCAGATCTTCACTGTGGGGATCATATACACACCCCAGATCTTCACTGTGGGGATCATATACACACCCCAGATCTTCACTGTGGGGATCATATCATCCCACACTACACACCCCAGATCTTCACATCACATCATCTACACACCCCAGATCTTCACTGTGCGGATCATAAACACACCCCAGATCTTCACTGTGGGGATCATATCATCCCACACTACACACCCCAGATCTTCACTGTGGGGATCATATTATCCCACACTACACACCCCAGATCTTCACTGTGGGGATCATATACACACCCCAGATCTTCACTGTAGGGATCATATCATCCCACACTACACACCCCAGATCTTCACTGTGGGGATCATATACACACCCCAGATCTTCACTGTGGGGATCATATTATCCCACAATACACACCCCAGATCACTGTATCATCCCACACTACACACCCCAGATCTTCACTGTGGGGATCATATCATCCCACACTACACACCCCAGATCTTCACTGTGGGGATCATATCATCCCACACTACACACCCCAGATCTTCACTGTGGGGATCATATCATCCCACACTACACACCCCAGATCTTCACTGTGGGGATCATATTATCCCACAATACACACCCCAGATCTTCACTGTGGGGATCATATTATCCCACAATACACACCCCAGATCTTCACTGTGGGGATCATATTATCCCACAATACACACCCCAGATCTTCACTGTGGGGATCATATCATCCCACACTACACACCCCAGATCTTCACTGTGGGGATCATATCATCCCACACTACACACCCAAATCTTCACTGTGGGGATCACATCATCCCACACTATCTTCACTGTGGGGATCACACACCCCAGATCTTCACTGTGGGGATCACATACATCCCACACTACACATCACCCCAGATCTAAACACACAAATCTTCACTGTGGGGATCCCACACTACACACCCCAGATCTTCACTGTGGGGATCATATCATCCCACACTACACACCCCAGATCTTCACTGTGGGGATCATATTATCCCACAATACACACCCCAGATCTTCACTGTGGGGATCATATTATCCCACACTACACACCCCAAGATCTTCACTGTGGGGATCATAAACACACCCCAGATCTTCACTGTGGGGATCATATTATCCCACAATACACACCCCAGATCTTCACTGTGGGGATCACATCATCCCACACTACACACCCCAGATCTTCACTGTGAGAATCACATCATCCCACACTACACACCCAAGATCTTCACTGTGGGGATCACATCATCCCACACTACACACCCCAGATCTTCACTGTGGGGATCATATCATCCCACACTACACACCCCAGATCTTCACTGTGGGGATCATATCATCCCACACTACACACCCCAGATCTTCACTGTGGGGTTCATATCATCCCACACTACATACCCCAGATCTTCACTGTGGGGATCATACTATCCCACACTACACACCCCAGATCTGCACTGTAGAAATAATATCAATTCTGACTACATACTTGTGATTAAAATTGACTAAACATTTATACCAGTGAGAGCTAATGTATATCATATGTAATATTACAGATGTTAATAGGAAAATATATGATAGAAAATTTGATCTTTCTGTAGGTGAAAACCATGCTGAACTGTCACTTTTATTTTCCTGTAGTTGTTTGTTGTACATCTGCAGTTCTTTTTAGCTCACCTGAGACAAAGTCTCTTGTTTGTATTTCTGTATCATCCTGGTGTTGTCCTCTTCCATCTGTTTATAAACTGAGAGTGTCTGTGCTGTAAATAGATCTACCCTGTAGTTCATATTTAAGTTGATCTGTTTGATTTTTTAGTTGGTGTGAAAGTTTCTCAAAATGACTGGTATTGTCTTTGAGTAATAAATCAGCAGAAGTGATATATTCCCTGACTTGTACCAGGTCATTTTGTTCTGTTTTGTTGATAAAGTTTTTAACATCTAGAGGAGTGATTGAGTTCACAAACAGTTTGGATGTAATACACAGAAGAAAGGCATTTTGTGCAAACTAGTTGGTGACATTTTTCACAATATAAATCCAGTTGTCTCCCCTTGTGATGCAAAAAAGCTGTCTGAACTTTCAACCAAAAATGGTATTGACTGTCTGTAGTTGCATTTTGATGAAAGTTGAAGTATTTATTGAAATCTTGTTTAGAACATTAATATATTTTTAACAATTCTTTTCTATGTCAGGAAATGAAATCACAATTTTACTGTCATGACCCGAGATGGATATATTTATTAAAGAAACACAGGAAAGTAACTACCTTATTATCGCTGATGCTGCAAGGTTCCTATGTTGTTGAATGTTAGTTTTCCATCTCTGGTACAGAAAGTTTTCAAATAATTGTCCAGATTTCTCCAGCCTTGGAATGTACATCCACATAAATATTTCTAGCTGATAATTAAAATGTTTGATTAAAATTTGATTTCACAATTTATTGTTTACTGGTCTGGCGTCCAGACAGAACTAGACGATCCTTCTGGTCAGTGTTAACATCAAGTCTGTGTATGTACTATCACATCTCCCTATAAAATATTTATCTGTCATGTTGACTCTGTTAGATTCTTGATAATATAAGTCAGATGAATCACATTTTGTTTTCTGATTTTGCATTTCAGAAAATCATCCATGTCAGAATCGCAATGGGGATTGTTCACACTTTTGCTTTCCCGTGCCCTATTCTAGGGACTCTGGTGCACTTGGTAGGGTCTGTGGTTGTCCATTTGGGAAAAAGATTGCGGAGAGCCAGCGAGATTGTGTTAGTGATCCCACTGAAAACAGGACTATCGAATGTTTGCCTGGAAACTTTCGCTGTGCAAATGGAAGGTGTATTCCACAAGCCTTCAGATGTGACCAGGATAATGACTGTCTTGATCACTCGGATGAGACTGACTGTGACAAGAGTATGTATCACTGGTTACAAAAAACGTTTCTATAGCAACAAGTGGTGTACAATACCATAACCATCCAGATAGCCCTATCTGGTAAAAAGCCCATCTAAATTTAGAATTGCCCCAAACTCATTGTGGTGCAATAAGGCCATCCGCTGACTTCCAAGAAAGTAGTTGACGCCTGAGTTAATTCTCCTGTAATAAGCCCACCCCCTGACTTTGAGTAAGTAGTAATGTGTTGACCCCTGAATTAATTGTCCTGTAATAAGCCCACCCCCTGACTTTGAGTAAGTAGTAATGTGTTGACCCCTGAATTAATTGTCCTGTTATAAGCCCACCCCCTGACTTTGAGTAAGTAGTAATGTGTTGACCCCTGAATTAATTGTCCTGTAATAAGCCCACCCCCTGACTTTGAGTAAGTAGTAATGTGTTGACCACTGAGTTAATTGTCCTGTTATAAGCCCACCCCCTGATTTTGAGTAAGTAGTAATGTGTTGACCCCTGAATTAATTGTCCTGTAATAAGCCCACCCCCTGACTTTGAGTAAGTAATAATGTGTTGACACCTGAATTAATTGTCCTGTAATAAGCCCACCCCCTGACTTTGAGTAAGTAGTAATGTGTTGACCCCTGAATTAATTGTCCTGTAATAAGCCCACTTCCTGACTTTGAGTAAGTAGTAATGTGTTGACCCCTGAGTTAATTGTTCTGTAATAAGCCCACCCCCTGACTTTGAGTAAGTAGTAATGTGTTGACCCCTGAGTTAATTGTCCTGTTTTAAGCCCACCCCCTGACTTTGAGTAAGTAATAATGTGTTGACCTTTGAGTTAATTATCCTGTAATAAGCCAACCCCCTGACTTTGAGTAAGTAATAATGTGTTGACCTTTGAGTTAATTATCCTGTAATAAGCCAACCCCCTGACTTTGAGTAAGTAATAATGTGTTGACCTTTGAGTTAATTATCCTGTAATAAGCCCACCCCCTGACTTTGAGTAAGTAGTAATGTGTTGACCCCTGAATTAATTGTCCTGTAATAAGCCCACTTCCTGACTTTGAGTAAGTAGTAATGTGTTGACCCCTGAGTTAATTGTCCTGTAATAAGCCCACCCCCTGACTTTGAGTAAGTAATAATGTGTTGACACCTGAATTAATTGTCCTGTAATAAGCCCACTTCCTGACTTTGAGTAAGTAGTAATGTGTTGACCCCTGAGTTAATTGTTCTGTAATAAGCCCACCCCCTGACTTTGAGTAAGTAGTAATGTGTTGACCCCTGAGTTAATTGTCCTGATATAAGCCCACCCCCTGACTTTGAGTAAGTAGTAATGTGTTGACCCCTGAGTTAATTGTCCTGTAATAAGCCTACCCCCATATTTTGAGTAAGTAGTAATGTGTTGACCCTTAGACTTAATGTAGGATACTTATGGTAGATAACCAATGAAAGATAAATGTCTGTTTGGCCTCTTTAAAAAAACAGTTTTTGATTAAGGTCAAGTCACTCTAATATACTGTACATTCCCTGTCAGGAAATAAGCCCACCGGTGTCTGTTTCTGTTCATTAGAATTGAAAGTAAATGATATTCTCCTGCAATTAGCTCACCCTAGGGCTAATTATGTATATTATGATAGAGTGTGAGATATAAATAATGAATAGAGATGCTTCATCAATAGAATTATGTTTCTAGTAGGCCAGTATGAAGAAAATGGACAAATAACTTTGTTATCGTTACAAGGAACAACGTGTCCTCCTCATCAGTTCCACTGTAAAAACGGAAAGTGTATCGGCAAACTCTGGCATTGTGATGGAGATGATGACTGTGGAGATATGTCAGACGAGAAAAATTGCCGTGAGTATACACACAGATTCAACATCTGTTATTGTAAATTTCTTACTGCAGTTAAAATTTTTCATTGCATTGTTATACTGTGTTGGACAAGATTGTCCAGGAAACAAAGAATCAAATTCAAAAGAATGAGAGTTTATTCATTTCTATGACAGCGGTTAAGAAGTGTCGTCAGAATCAGTTCCAGTGCAACAACACCTTGTGTATACACTATCGTTTTAAGTGTGATACTGACAATGACTGCGGGGACGGGTCAGACGAAGGGAGTTTTTGTGGTAAGTAAAAATACTGAAAGTAGTCAGTAAGTAAATATTGACTCGGTATTCCGTTAGGAATCCATCTGTGGAAGACCTACCAACAGTTTTAGAAGATTTTCTGTCAGAAAATGAATCTCCTTTTCTTTGTAACAGTAATAGTTATTATAAATAGTTTAAGTAAGCAGTCAGTAAATAATCAGAGTAAAAAGTGTCTATAATTAGTTGCAGTGGTTATTATAAATAGTTCTATATAAAGTAACAGTAAATAGTTACAGGAAAAAGGTAGTTTTTTATAGAAGTAAAAATACGAATAGAACAAAAACAGAATAACTATTTTATCAACCATATTTATTATTTGTACTTGGTATGTATTGCCAATTACATTGTTTAAAAACCTCCATGAAATGTTCTTCATTTACTGAAGATGTGACAGTGGTGTTCTTACAAAAGTATTCTAAAATCAAAGACCTTAAAATTAAAATAATTTCAAACAATGCCGTAACATCTGAACTCAACAATATCATCTTCACAGGAAAGTGCCTGTCTGAACACAGAATGCTGGAGAAAAGGACTCCAATGAATGTACATTAGAGAATGGGTCGCTCAAAATATTTCACCATCTTAAAATCTCTTCTGCAAAATATTTAAACTGACAAAAATTGAAATATTGCGGAAAAGCAGCAAAAATATGGCTACTTCAAAAATACTTGATTTGCGATTATGTATTTTACATTTGCAACCAGAGACACACACGTGTGCGGCAGACTACTACCAGTGTGGGGATAAGCGATGTATCCCAGACAGTAAACTATGTGATGGATCCAGAGACTGTTTTGATGAGTCGGACGAACAGGATTGTCCCCCCCTGAACTGTACAGAAGGGAAATGGACCTGTAAGACAGAGAGACAGTGTATCCCCGAACGTTATCATTGTGATGGTGCACCAGATTGTCGAGACAGCAGTGATGAAGTGGACTGTCGTAAGTACTCTGTCCATCTAAATTCTCAATATCTAAATACTCTCATAACTCTCGACATTTCTAGGTCAAGGTCACTTGGCATGAAGCAGATTGATGAAATTGTATTCAGTGTAAATAGCTGAAAGGCATTTAAAAAAGTTTTTAAGGTGAAGGGTTTGGGGATTGGGGTTGTTGTTGAATTGTTAGTCTATTTGAGAAAGAAGTTTTAAAAAAATGTTGAAAATATCATAATCAGCACTGATCTCATTAACAGTTTATAAGCGATTGATGGAAGAATAAAATTTAAAAGTTCCGGAAAATTCATGTTCTTGGTTTTGAGCCTATGTAACTACATTAAACCCCTGAAACATATTTTTTCATTGTAAAATCCTGCTATAATTTAGGTCTTTTTAGTCCTGATTCTAATTTTGGTACTAAGTTTGTGTCTTTTTTGTTTGTTAAGCATCACGAGAGGATGGCTGTCTGAAGGAAGAGTTTAACTGTACACAGGGGGGTTGTATTCCTCTGACATGGAAATGTGATGGCCAGTCTGACTGCCCCGATGGGTCTGACGAACCAGATGACTGTCGTGAGTGCAATTTCCTGATGGCCTTGTTTCAGTCTGTTTGCTTTGTGTTGATATCTGTTGTAGATGTTGTTAGTATTACACTGTCAGAAATCAGTGTTGGAAAAATACACCAGGATGTCAAATTCAGGTCACTGTGACCTACATTTTCTGCTTCATCAACGAAGCATTGCTTTAAATTTAAACAGAATCAGGAACAATACACATTCTTTATAAGTTTTACTGAAGTGTTCAGTGTCATGCACGCTTTTTACTCTTAAATTCAGCTAGATATAGTTCTAACTTACCTGGAATGATCTAGAGATGGTCCTGACCAAGCTTTTATTTTTTTTGATTGTTCTGAAATCCAAGGTGGCTGCCATAACTGCCATCTTGAAAAACATTTTTTGGATTTCTTCTCCAGCATATTTGAATCAATGAACTGTATATTAGAAGGGATGTTCAGGAATTCTTAACAAATATTGTAGGTTTTTGTTTCATGAATGGCACAGGATATGTTTAAATAATTTAATCAAATCTATTTAGAATAACTGCAAAATCTTATTTCATAATTTTTGCCACATTCATTTAATAGTCATGTGGTTGATAACTATATACTTCTTTTATAAATTCAACATTTGTATCAATCTACAGCTACACCGACATGTTCATTTGAGCGATTCCGGTGTAAAAATGGACGCTGTATTGCCAAGTCATGGATGTGTGATGGAGATGATGACTGTGGTGATAACAGTGACGAGGACCAAAACCTCAACTGTCGTATGTATCAGTAGCCTTGACAACCAGTAAATACTAAATTGATGTTTGTTAGATATAAACAATTCAGTTATCTGACAAGTCTTTTGTAATCATGTTAATATGACATTGTCTTCCATATTGTAGCACCTCCACCATTCCGCTGTCCCTCACACCAGTGGCAGTGTCCGGGAGAATTCCGTGTCTGTGTCAACACGTCTCTGGTGTGTGATGGAAATGATGACTGTCCTGGAGGTCATGATGAGAGCGCCATCTGTAGTGAGTGACTTAAAACCCAACTAAATTTTCAGAAATGTATATTTGGAATGCAGTAAAATAGTCTACAGAAATGGATGCCTGATTTTAACAGATTCAGTCATATATTCAATCATCTGTTTCTGATGTTGATGTCTTTTGTAGAACTGTTGCTTTTTTAAGTCCTCTTTTGTCCAATGTCTGTCATCTGCCTCAAACAATTTATAATTTTGACTTCTCACTATACGGGATGCTGACATTGGGCCTGTATAGCATTCTGGGTTGAATGGCTACCAAGATTGTCCATATGAATAACCTTCACCCACTTTCTAGGTCACAGAGGTCAAATATGTGGAAATCTCAATATTCAAAAGGTCCAGGCTATTGATATTGGTTCTGTAACATAATTAGATGAAGGGCTACCAAATCTATTCATATTATTAAGCTTGAGCTACTTTCAAGGTCAAATGTTTAGAGAACTTAAAATTTAAATTACAAGAAATAAATAAACAAGCAGTAAGTCCTTTGTTATGGTTTTTGTGTGGAATATGTATGAGGAATAGAATTTCAAGTTTGCAGAAATTGACTTTACGAACTGACAAAGACTTTTTTGTAAGTTCTAGCAAAGTTGAACAATTCAGGCCCGTTGGGCGTCTATCTTATATGGTTCTTTATAGTCAGATGACCATTAAATCCCAATGGGCCTCTTGTAATAAAATGTGGTATTCAGCTTTATATTAATATTTCATATCAACAACGAGACTAATTTGATTGTAACATATAGAGTTAAGCCCCTTTCAGTTTCATTACCATCAGACCTTGTGAACATGATATTTTCAGCAAATTTGAATTGACGTTAATGTTACATGATATTGAGTCTTTTAAGATTTCAAATTACTTTGACAATGGGACCAATTTGATAAAAAATTGCACTGTTATAGCCCTCTACAGGTTAATTTCCATAGAACTTGTGAACATGATAACTTGATGAAACTTCGTTACAGCCTTGTACCGTTAAGATCTTTGATAAATTCAAAGATTGGACTGATTTATTTACAGAGTTATGGCCCTTTGTAGCTTGTCAATATTGAACCTTGTGAACATGATAACTTCAGTAAATTTAAATGGATTATTAGGGCTGTCAGGGGTTCAAAATTTTGGGTCTTATTTTAGTTACCTTGTTGAAAAGTGCTTGTAACTTCAGGGACCAAATAGAAATTAACCATATCTGAACACAATGTTTCACTGACGATATTATTGTATTCCTTTCTTCGCACCTATCAACTGTTTTGTAATTTAAATGATCTGGAGACAAATCACATCAGGTCTTAAGTTAACAAAACTTGCCTGTCAAGCTTACTGTAAATATGGCAGGATGGTGTTACTTCCACCGATGTAACAGGTAGTAAAGTGGGATTGAGACATTACCGTATTTGACAGAGTTATTGTAAAGTGGGATTGAGACATTACCGTATTTGACAGAGTTATTGTGCTTGACAACTACATTGAAGGAACAACCCCAGCAAAAGTTTCAACCAGGAATCAAAGCATGCTAACATAAATGAATAAGAGCAGCGAATCATGTGACATAATCTCATACAGAAATCCTTGTGCATTGTCCTTGGTAACAAGTACAGTAAACAAGTCTCCTGTGTGTACACATGCTTGATGTAAACACAGACAGAATGTTTCCTAATGAATGTTTTTTGACAGGTACTGGGGTACACATTTTCACACTCTATTATTTCTCAAACCCATATACTGGTACTTGGGTATTTGTTACAGACCTTATTTAATGAAACTCAGTATGCAGCCTTATATCAATATGATCTCAAAAGGCTTTAACAATAGGACTGATTTGATTATAATTTACAGAGTTCAAGTTTGGTTGAGATGAGTCAGGTAACTGTTTAGGCCATTTGCCTCTTGTTTCGTTCTTTTTATAAAGGATATATTATAAAAAGAGTTCTGGTATATTGGTTATGCCTATGTATGGAAAACCTGCTACAATGATTTTTTATTTCAGACAATGATGACTGTAAGGTCAATAACGGTGGCTGTAGCTTTATGTGTCTCCAGACTCCTCGTGGGGCAGAGTGTATGTGTCCACCAGGTCATCGACTCCGCGGGCCTAAGTTGTGTGTTGGTAAGCCTTTGATTTGTCTCCCCTGACTAAGTGAGAACATCGATATTTCAAGATGCAACTATTTATTTCTTTCCCCAATATTAGAATTATTAGTTATCTCCCTTGATAGTCATTGATTTTCTTGCAACTGTTGATTATTTCCTTTAATAAATTTCCTTTTCTCCCCTGAATACATGTATTACCTCCCCTGACTGTGTTACAGACTGGGATGAGTGTGAGGTGGCCGGAACTTGCAGTCAGCAGTGTATCAATACAAAGGGATCCTATAAGTGTGCCTGTGGAGAAGGTTACACACTTGTTGACCACCACAAATGTGCCGCTGACAGGAGTAAGTAGAATTGTTCTTTCTGGCTCTTCTGCCTCCTCCTGCCATTCATCCTCTCTCTTCTTCCCTGCCAATCTCACCATGAGGACTGTATTAACAGTAGAAAAATTATGTCTGACATTTAGGTGATAACTTTAGTGTTTGTTTTCAGTAGCATTTCACCAGAGAAAGCTTGAGATTGAAAACAATAATTACTTGAACAATAGCAAAGTTGTCAGCAAGAACTGAACTTATGATAATAATAATGACAATAAAGAAAAGAAAATGTAGAAAAAAAAAAGAAAAAAAATGAGAGAGAAACAAAAGACAACAAACTTACAACTGTGCATGATGAGAAATTAAATAAAAATAACTCCCTCATTCTCGGACAAATTTGACAAAATTCCGGTTTGCACTACTCAGCTTTGTGTGGTTTTTGTATTTGGCAGACTTGACCAAGCCATCCTTGATAGTGACCAGCCACACGGCCATTGTCCATGCTGACCTTGACCTTCACTCCTATGTGGCGATCCCCCTGCTAGGTGTGAGGTCCATTGCTGGACTAGATGTTCATGTTGCCAACAAAGAGATTTACTTTAGTGATTCTGCCCTGAAACGCATTTACAGAGTTAATGTGGACGGTACAAATCTAACTGAGGTAAGCAACACCAAATCCTAAATATCCATCACAGTTAATTGTTGTATGAATTAAAAAAATAGAAATGAAAATAATACAATCTTTAAAAGAAGTAATAAACAGGACAAAGATACAGAGTGTGTTAACAACTGTACTGATGTGGGTGGGCTTATTACAGGACACTGATATAGGGTGTGTTAACAACTGTACTGATGTTGGTGGGCTTATTACAGGACAGTGATATAGAGTGTGTTAACAACTGTACTGATGTGGGTGGGCTTATTACAGGAAAGTGATATATAGTGTGTTAACAACTGTACTGATGTTGGTGGGCTTATTACAGGACACTGATATATAGTGTGTTAACAACTGTACTGATGTGGGTGGGCTTATTACAGGAAAGTGATATATAGTGTGTTAACAACTGTACTGATGTTGGTGGGCTTATTACAGGACACTGATATATAGTGTGTTAACAACTGTACTGATGTTGGTGGGCTTATTACAGGACACTGATATAGAGTGTGTTAACAACTGTACTGATGTGGGTGGGCTTATTACAGGACACTGATATAGGGTGTGTTAACAACTGTACTGATGTTGGTGGGCTTATTACAGGACAGTGATATAGAGTGTGTTAACAACTGTACTGATGTGGGTGGGCTTATTACAGGAAAGTGATATATAGTGTGTTAACAACTGTACTGATGTGGGTGGGCTTATTACAGGACACTGATATAGAGTGTGTTAACAACTGTACTGATGTGGGTGGGCTTATTACAGGACAGTGATATAGGGTGTGTTAACAACTATACTGATGTGGGTGGGCTTATTACAGGACACTGATATAGAGTGAATAAACAACTTTACTGATGTGGGTGGGCTAATTACAGGACACTGATATATAGTGTGTTAACAACTGTATTGATGTGGGTGGGCTTATTACAGGACACTGATATAGAGTGTGTTAACAACTGTACTGATGTTAGTGGGGTTATTACAGGACACTGATATAGAGTGTGTTAACTGTACTGATGTGGGTGGGTTTATTACAGGACACTGATACAGAGTGTGTTAACAACTGTACTGATGTTAGTGGGGTTATTACAGGACACTGATATAGAGTGTGTTAACTGTACTGATGTTGGTGGGTTTATTACAGGACACTGATATAGAGTGTGTTAACTGTACTGATGTGGGTGGGTTTATTACAGGACACTGATATAGAGTGTGTTAACTGTACTGATGTGGGTGGGTTTATTACAGGACACTGATATAGAGTGTGTTAACTGTACTGATGTGGGTGGGTTTATTACAGGACACTGATATAGAGTGTGTTAACAACTGTACCGATGTTAGTGGGGTTATTACAGGACACTGATATAGAGTGTGTTAACTGTACTGATGTGGGTGGGTTTATTACAGGACACTGATATAGAGTGTGTTAACTGTACTGATGTGGGTGGGTTTATTACAGGACACTGATATAGAGTGTGTTAACTGTACTGATGTGGGTGGGTTTATTACAGGACACTGATAGAGAGTGTGTTAACTGTACTGATGTGGGTGGGTTTATTACAGGACACTGATATAGAGTGTGTTAACAACTGTACCGATGTTAGTGGGGTTATTACAGGACACTGATATAGAGTGTGTTAACTGTACTGATGTGGGTGGGTTTATTACAGGACACTGATATATAGTGTGTTAACAACTGTACTGATGTTGGCTTATTACAGGACACTGATATAGAGTGTGTTAACAACTGTACTGATGTTAGTGGGGTTATTACAGGACACTGATATAGAGTGTGTTAACAACTGTACTGATGTTAGTGAGGTTATTACAGGACACTGATATAGAGTGCGTTAACAACTGTACTGATGTTAGTGGGCTTATTACAGGACAGTGATATATAGTGTGTTAACAACTGTACTGATGTTAGTGAGGTTATTACAGGACACTGATATAGAGTGCGTTAACTGTACTGATGTGGGTGGGTTTATTAAAGGACACTGATATAGAGTGTGTTAACAACTGTACTGATGTTAGTGGGGTTATTACAGGACACTGATATAGAGTGCGTTAACAACTGTACTTGTACTGATGTTAGTGGGGTTATTACAGGACACTGATATAGAGTGCGTTAACAACTGTACTGATATGGTTGGATTAATCTATATTGCATCATCCCTGGTCATTTGTTGTCAGTTTTCCTTGTTGTTTGTTGTAGGTTTTCCCGGTGGGTGTAAATGTGGTGGAGGACCTTGCTGTCGATTGGATAGGTGGAAATCTCTACTGGAATGACTATGTGTTTGAAACCATTGAGGTCTCGAAGCTCGACGGTAGCGTGAAGACCATTCTGTTTAGTCAGAACATCACAAACCCACGTGGTATTGAAGTCGACCCTAGGAAAGGGTAGGTACTCTATCTATGGTGATAGTGTGCAATTTATCACTGATGGGGAGGGGATAAACTTGCATGATAGGGTAGGGTAGGTTCAGTATCCATGGTGATAGTGTGCAATTTATCACTGATGGGGAGGGGATAAACCTGCATGATAGGGTAGGGTAGGTTCAGTATCCATGGTGATAGTGTGCAATTTATCACTGATGGGGGAGGGGATAAACCTGCATGATAGGGTAGGGTAGGTTCAGTATCCATGGTGATAGTGTGCAATTTATCACTGATGGGGGAGGGGATAAACCTGCATGATAGGGTAGGTTCAGTATCCATGGTGATATGGTGAAATGTCTGATAAGCAAAAGCATTATATACTGAAGCACTGATTAGTTGGCTTTGTAAGCTTCTGACTCTCAGTTGTATGTATTTCAACCTTTATGTATGTACGTATTATTCTCCATCTTAATGAATTTACCAAAGACCAAGAGAGCTAAAAGGGAAAGCAGGAAGCTTTCCACAAAACACAGATAGACTCTCTGGTAGAGATGTTGCTTAAAAACTAGGAAGAAAAGATTATGAACATAAGTTTCAATTGTCAAATTGTCATGCTCATACGACCCTATGAAATATAATTTTTGATGCAGGTCACGGTACATTTTCTGGACAGATTGGGGACAACATCCTCGTATAGAGAGAGCAGACATGGATGGACACAATCGTACCACCATTGTCACTAAAAAGGTTTATTGGCCAAATGGCCTCTCTCTGGATTACCCCAATAGGAGGCTATATTTTGCTGATGCTCGCCTTGATTACATCGAATATTGTAACTATGACGGATCTGGACGCAGACAAGTGTTCGCCAATGATCATGTAAGTGTCCATTGATTCTATAAATCTATAGCATGTTAACTTGTTAGCAAAATCTTTCTCTATTATATGATTGTACACAAGGCATTGCATGGTATCCTCGGTTATATGTATTTGATAAACGGGAGTAAAATTACAATTTCTTATTTGAACCTCTGTATTAAGGCCACTTGTATATAACAAATATAAACCTCTTCAATGTAATACAATTTCTCCTAGAACCTCTGTATTAAGGCCACCTGTATATGAAATATAAACCTCTTCAGTGTAATACAATCTCTCATTGAACCTCTGTATTAAGGCCACCTGTATATAACAAATATAAACCTCTTAAGTGTAATACAATTTCTCATTGAACCTCTGTATTAAGGCCACTTGTATATAACAAATATAAACCTCTTCAATGTAATACAATTTCTCATTGAACCTCTGTATTAAGGCCACCTGTATATAACAAATATAAACCTCTTCAGTGTAATACAATTTCTCATTGAACCTCTGTATTAAGGCCACCTGTATATGAAATATAAACCTCTTCAATGTAATACAATTTCTCATTGAACCTCTGTATTAAGGCCACCTGTATATAACAAATATAAGTTTCTTCAATGTAATACAATTTCTCATAGAACCTCTGTATTAAGGCCACCTGTATATAACAAATATAAACCTCGTCAATGTAATACAATTTCTCATTGAACCTCTGTATTAAGGCCACCTGTATATGAAATATAAACCTCTTCAATGTAATACATTTTCTCCTAGAACCTCTGTATTAAGGCCACCTGTATATGAAATATAAACCTCTTCAATGTAATACATTTTCTCCTAGAACCTCTGTATTAAGGCCACCTGTATATAACAAATATAAACCTCGTCAATGTAATACAATTTCTCATTGAACCTCTGTATTAAGGCCACCTGTATATGAAATATAAACCTCTTCAATGTAATACATTTTCTCCTAGAACCTCTGTATTAAGGCCACCTGTATATGAATTATAAACCTCTTCAATGTAATACATTTTCTCCTAGAACCTCTGTATTAAGGCCACCTGTATATAACAAATATAAACCTGTCAATGTAATACAATTTCTCATTGAACCTCTGTATTAAGGCCACCTGTATATGAAATATAAACCTCTTTAATGTAATACATTTTCTCCTAGAACCTCTGTATTAAGGCCACCTGTATATGAAATATAAACTTCTTCAATGTAATACAATTTCTCATTGAACCTCTGTATTAAGGCCACCTGTATATAACAAATATAAACCTCTTCAATGTAATACAATTTCTCATTGAACCTCTGTATTAAGGCCACCTGTATATAACAAATATAAGTTTCTTCAATGTAATACAATTTCACATTGAACCTCTGTATTAAGGCCACCTGTATATGAAATATAAACTTCTTCAATGTAATACAATTTCTCATTGAACCTCTGTATTAAGGCCACCTGTATATGAAATATAAACTTCTTCAATGTAATACAATTTCACATTGAACCTCTGTATTAAGGCCACCTGTATATAACAAATATAAACCTCTTCAATGTTATACAATTTCTAAAAGCAGAACCTCTTTATGAAGTCCACTTTTCAATGCGATACAATTCCTAAAGTTGAACTTCTATACAAAGGTCATTTTCCCTTGATTTTATAGATGATATGTTTGACTGGATTTATAAAATTCCTGAAATTTTGCCTTCAGTTCCTGCGACACCCACATGGACTTGTTGTGTTTGAGGATACCATCTTCTGGACAGATCGTGTTGCGGGACGTGTTTCTCAGTGTAACAAATTCAACTGCTCAGATCGTGGGCTGACCATCAGTCGTATCAGCCGTCCCTTGGGTATTGCTGTGATGCACCCGGTCAGGCAGCCTTACAGTGCCCTTGATGGTCAGTGTGTGATCAGTGGTACCAAAGTGACTCTTTTGAGAAGGAAAAAAAATAATTTTCTCTTATCTACCCGAGTGATTATTTGATATTCAGTTTTGTTTCCTCAAAGTTGATAATTACTGTTATTACTTGATTGCTAGGTAAATCCTATGTTGTTGTTAGGTTACTCCTATGTAGTTGCTTGATACCATGTTTTAACTGTTCTATACTGTTTGTAGGTTACTCCTATCTTGTTTGTAGATTACTCCTATGTAGTTGCTCCTTTGCTGTTGCTATGCTGCTCCTTTGTTACCAGGTTACTCATATGTAGTTGCTTGGTATCATGTTGCAACTGTTGTATACTGTTACTAGTTGACTGCTATCTTGTTGCTAGGTAACCCATGTTCCAACTCATCGTGCAGTCATCTCTGTCTCCTGTCATCAGTGAAGCCTAAGGGATTCTCGTGTGCCTGCCCGGTTGACATGAAACTGGATGACTCAGAAAACAAGTGCATTCCCTGTAAGTACTAAGCTATAACACTGATTGGCCTGTCTACAGGCAGTGAGAGAGAGGAGTGATGTTTCATCCTTTCAGTCCCTGATTGGACTGTCTACAGGCGGTCTGAGAGAGGAGTGATGTTTCATCCTTTCAGTCCCTGATTGGACTGTCTACAGGCAGTGTGAGAGAGGAGTGATGTTTCATCCTTTCAGACCCTGATTGGACTGTCTACAGGCGGTCTGAGAGAGGAGTGATGTTTCATCCTTTCAGACCCTAATTGGACTGTCTACAAGTGGTCTGAGAGAGGAGTGTTTTATCATCTTTTCAGACCCTGATTGGACTGTCTACAGGTGGTCTGAGAGAGGAGTGATGTTTCATCCTTTCAGTCCCTGATTGGACTGTCTACAGGTAGTCTGAGAGAGGAGTGATTTATCATCTTTTCAGACCCTGATTGGACTGTCTACAGGTGGTCTGAGAGAGGAGTGATGTTTCATCCTTTCAGTCCCTGATTGGACTGTCTACAGGCAGTGTGAGAGAGGGTTGATGTTTCATCCTTTCAGACCCTGATTGGACTGTCTACAGGCAGTGTGAGAGAGGAGTGATGTTTCATCCTTTCAGACCCTGATTGGACTGTCTACAGGCAGTGTGAGAGAGGAGTGATGTTTCATCCTTTCAGACCCTTTTGGACTGTCTACAGGCAGTGTGAGAGAGGAGTAATGTTTCATCCTTTCAGTCCCTGACTGGACTGTCTACAGGCAGTGTGAGAGAGGAGTGATGTTTCATCCTTTCAGACCCTGATTGGACTGTCTACAGGCAGTGTGAGAGAGGAGTGATGTTTCATCCTTTCAGACCCTGATTGGAATGTCTACAGGTGGTCTGAGAGAGGAGTGATGTTTCATCCTTTCAGACCCTGATTGGACTGTCTACAGGTGGTCTGAGAGAGGAGTTATGTTTCATCCTTTCAGCCCCTGATTGGACTGTCAACAGGCAGTCTGAGGGAGGGTTGATGTTTCATCTGCCCCTGATTTTATTGACAAAGGAAAGAGATGTGTTTGAAATCTTGCAAATACATTTTCCAGTTGAAGTTATAGTTTAAGATTTTTATTCAAACAATGTAGACATTTATTTTGCAATTTCTGGTCGATCTGTTTGTCAGCTGACCTTAATGTTATATATAGGATATTCAACATTCTGTTTATTACATTTTCATCACAAAAATAAACCAAAACAATGGCAAACTTACGATAACTATAAAATGGGTAAGTTGAACATGCTTTTTCCACACACTACTCACTCATTATACAATGATGTTGTGCGCGGCAAAAAATAGTCCATTTTATGAAAAATCAGTAAAGATATACAGACTCATAAATAAATCATAATTAATGTTTATTTGTGTTTGGACATGGATTTTGTAATTTATTGATGTCACTTAAACACAATAAAATGGTTTAAACGTTAACTGAAAAAATAAAAACAATGTTTCTTCCGCGCATGAAAAAGTATGGCGCCAGCCTAGTTGCTGTCACTATCAATGACACGGATTCTTTTAAAATGCCTTGGTCCACACTCAAGACTCTCAGAACGGGGATGGGTTTGACCACTGATAACAAAGTTAGAGTTACTGGCTTGCATCGTCTGCTGACTGCCATGAAAATGGAAATTTATGGTGGAGTAGATTTGTATTGGGCTCTCTGATTGGTCAATCCTTTTATCAGTTTGAGATATCCCTATATTTCACTGCTAAAAATGTAATAAATTGACCTATTTAATCAATTTACATGTCTGTTTTACCATTTCTGATTGGTCTGTTTGTCAGCTGACCTTGATGGTATAGCGACCTATTTAATCAATGTAAATGTCTGTTTTACCATTTCTGATTGGTCTGTTTGTCAGCTGACCTTGATGGTATAGCGACCTATTTAATCAATGTAGATGTCTGTTTTACCATTTCTGATTGGTCTGTTTGTCAGCCGACCTTGATGGTATAGCGACCTATTTAATCAATGTAGATGTCTGTTTTACCATTTCTGATTGGTCTGTTTGTCAGTTGACCTTGATGGTATAGTGACCTATTTAATCAATGTAGATGTCTGTTTTACCATTTCTGATTGGTCTGTTTGTCAGCCGACCTTGACTACCTGATGTATATGACAAAGACAGGTATTGTGGGTATTGATATGGAGGACAATGTGACACACCCCCTGCTTCCAGTCGCTAGTGTTCTCAGTGGGATGAACATGGACATTGACAGCGCCAATGGTAGTCTCTACGTTGTACAGCGTGGAGACATTTTCAATGTAAGAATTGATTGCAAGAACAAATTGTAATAAATTTGCTGATGAATATTCTTTGATAATATGATTTTAGTTCGTAAGAGTTATCTCTCCTGATTGGTTCATTGAGGATGTTGTGACTAGTCAGTCCAGTGTTTAAGGCCGTCTACTCAAATGTAACACCTTGGGCTTACATCTGTAAGTCAGGCACTTATCCACTGATATCAACATAGCTAAAACAAACAAGTGCTGTTACTAATTTATCATTTTCAAAATAACCAGATTTCATTTTAAAATGATGGATTAAGTGAGCAGTAACTCCAGATGTGTTACTTAAATTATGACATGGAAACATTTTAAAACTGAGAGAACCTTGAAGAATTGTGTGGCATCAACTTTCCATTTTACACTTGTAACCTTCAGTCCATTTTGAAAGCTATAAACAGGAACATGTTTAAGTTATCCATAAGAATATTATAGCTGTTAATATTCATGGGTCAAATTTTTCATCATTTTCATTTAAAATGATCTAATTGTGTTTGAAAAAGTTAAAATTTTGTGGTCCTAATTTTAAAGGACATCTAATACACATGCCTCATTATTTACTGGATTAGATTTTCATGATCACATTGATGCAGCGATAAATAGCAAAATAAGCGACTATACAGTGGTAACACTGATATTGAACTCTAGTCAGTTTAAAGAGGTTAAAATATTTTGTATTGAATATTGCTGTTTAAATACTTATAGTAAACAATATTTCTTATGAGCTTAAAACATTAGATTTTTGATATTACTTCCAGGCATCGGTGGTGAAGGTATCTATTAGGGATGGTAATGTCACACAGTTCATGCCATCAAAGTTTTCGGGGTATGTGCACGCTGTGGCTGTAGACTGGGTGGCACGAAACTTGTATTGGGCCGACACCAAGGCAGGCACTATTGAGGTGATGAGACTCGATGGTAAACAGTATAGTAAGGTCCTTATGTCCAACACAGGCAGACCGTTGGACTGTGACCAGCCGGTGTCTTTGACCCTTGACCCATCAAAGGGGTAGGTATTGCTCTTGACTCATGACCTTGTTGGTGGATAGTTTCTTTGGGTTTTCAATATTTGAAGGTGAAGTGGATCTCACCCTCAAGTTGGCAGACAAATATTTGCTACTGAATAATTTTTCCCTGAGGTTTGTGATCCCACTAACCATGTATATGCAATACTTGATAATATACCTCATTCTGATGAAAGGAGAATCCGTTCTACAATCAAATCTCACAACAGTGAAATCATGAAAAACATAGAATCATTACCGTAAATTTCCACGTATAGTGCACACTTTTTCAAGCTAAAACGGTCGTGTCAAAGAGGGGGTGCGCATTATACACAGGAACATGCCATTCTTGGGGTTATCATTCCCGAGTTCTGCGTCCGCCATATTGGATTATCTCCCTTCACATAGTTGTATGTAAAAGTCGTTGGTCATATATGATAGTTTGGAGATAAAAACAAAAAAACAAAAAAATGAAATAAATTTTGAATGTTTTAATCATAGGCCATTCACGCTAGCATTACGGTGACTCTAATTTTTTTTCGTTTCCCGTTGTTCGAATAGTGACGGTCTTACTAATGGTCGGGGCTATAGTAGTGTCTGAATTTCTGCCTCATTTTGATGATATATCTGTGAAATTCAATGAGTCCGGAAGATTTTGGGCGATAGTCATTTTGTTCATAAATCGGACAGCCCATCCCACCGATGCCCAAAGTTGGTGACCCCATGACCTCTCTTGATCTGCATGGCCCGCACACGCAGTTCTGTTGTACTGGCAGCGATGCCGGCATCTCGGTGATCGCATACAAAGTTGACCAGCTCTCTCTCCATCTCTGGGTGTTTCGCTGTCGCACCTATGTTAGCCCTTCTGGTCAGTGGTTCGGACTTTAGACGGTCTTTTTTCCTTCTGGCCTTGATATTTCACTCTGGAATGTCGAAGTGGCGACCGGCAGCACGAAACCCAAGTCTCTCGGTGTAGTCAATAGCGTTTGCTGTACCCCCATGTCGAAGTCGGTGAAAACAATTTATAATTAAGTACCTTCGGATACCGCAGTAGGTACAGATATGGGGACAAGGTATGATTGAAACTTTTCAGACAGTTAAAACAACATCGTTTTCTGAGTAATAGTACGCGTTCAGCCCAAGCCGGGTGTCAATTAATCTCTTCATACTCAACGTGTTTGTTACCTGTTAAGAACGGTTAATTATTCAATTAGCCAAGCCTTTCACACTTGTTAAGTCAGGCACCTGTGTGAATTTGTTTATATAAGGTAATTAAATATGTTAGGGTCACGATGATTGTGGTTTCCTAATTATCAATGGATCAAACCACACCTGTTTCATTGCGGTAACCAGTAATCAATTAATCTTTCTGAAGAAAACTTTTTTTTTCTTTATCTTACCCCAAAAAAGTACCTGCGCACTATACCCGAGTGGGCACTATACCCGCAAATTTACAGTAATAAAAATTCTTCTAAATTGCCTAAAATCCCATATTATTGATAATTTAACATTTAGCATGCTGGCATAATTTAATTTCAGATGTGGAGTTGCTTGATATCAAGTTTGTAGATGTAATTTATTTCCTTAAGACCAGTAAAGTTTGGTAAACTCTGTTTTTTGTAGACTTGAGTATTTTAAACGAAAATGATACTTTTACCAGTTTTACTATTTTGTAGGACTTTATACTGGGCTGATCTGGGTGGAAATGGAGTGTCTGCTAAAATTGCCTCTATGCTTATGGATGGCACTGGTCCTCAGATTGTCCATGAGAGGCGAGTTGAGGTTCCTGGAGACATTGCCATAGATACCAATTCCAATCTTCTGTACTGGGCTGACTCGGCGAAAAACTGGGTACATTGTTTGAGTTTTTCTGAATTAGCTGAAAGTCTGTATTATCTGAAGTATATCCTAGTACCAAAGAGTTTTTCTGAATTAGCTGAAAGTCTGTATTATCTTAAGTATATCCTAGTACCAAAGAGTTTTTCTGAATTAGCTGAAAGTCTGTATTATCTGCAGTATATCCTAGTACCAAAGAGTTTTTCTGAATTAGCTGAAAGTCTGTATTATCTGAAGTATATCCTAGTACCAAAGAGTTTTTCTGAATTAGCTGAAAGTCATAAATGAAGATATTTCAGCTGTTCACAAATTTTGTGGAAAGTTAGAACAGAATTTAATCCAATATGTTCTACATTATCAAAGATACAAAATTATAGCTGAAAAGTCTTTTAATTTAACTGCTGTGATCTTATGTATATAGATGTTTTTCATTGTTTTTTGTCTTTGATATCAATTGTCCCTTTTAGATAATGGCTTATTCCCTAGACAAGACACACACTCACAGAACCCGAATTGTGCACTCCAAGCTTGGTAACCCAACAGGTCTGGCTATATTCCACAGACGACTTTACTTCGCTGACCCTGACCATGAGAGGATATACTACATCCCACTGGACCACCCACGAGAAATGCATATTGTCAAGGAAAACATTGCCCTACTGACTGACCTCGTTGTTTACAATGACCGTCACACGAAGGGTAAATAACCATTATTATCACACAACTACTGGTCTGTTTAGATAGTGTATCAATACTGTGTTTAACATGAATGAAACACGTAACAGAGTATTTTGATAAACACACATAGATATTGTTGTTTTATGTAGTAAAATAACAAACCAGTGTTATTTCAGTGTTCTTGATAAGCCCATGCCTTGGCTTTGAGTCAGAAATCATGTGTTGGCTCCTGTCATCCTGTAAAACGCACCCCCCACCTCCTGACATAGTCTTGGAAGTAATGTGTTGATTTTCCTAATCTGCCAATACCTTGACTTTGAGTCAGAGGAAATGTGTTAACCCCTGGGGTTATTGTCCTGTTATAAGCCTTTCCCTTTTATTTGAGTAAGAATAAAGTGTTGACCCCTGGGTTTTTGGTCCTGTAATAAGCCCATCCCCTGGCTTTGAGAAAGAAGTAAAGTGTTGACCCCTGGGTTTTTGGTCCTGTAATAGGCCCATCCCCTGATTTTAAGAAAGAAGTAAAGTGTTGACCCCTGGGTTTTTGGTCCTGTGATAAGCCCATCCCCTGATTTTAAGAAAGTAGTAAAGTGTTGACCCATGGGTTTTTGGTTCTGTAATAGGCCCATCCCCTGATTTTGAGAAAGAAGTGTTGACCCCTGGTTTTTTGGTTCTGTAGTAAGCCTATCCCCTGTCTTTAAGAAAGTAGTGTTGACTCCTGCGTTTTTGGTTCTGTAGTAAGCCCATCCCCTGATTTTAAGAAAGAAGTGTTGACCCCTGGGTTTTTGGTTCTGTAGTAAGCCCATCCCCTGATTTTGAAAAAGAAGTGTTGACCCCTGGGTTTTTGGTTCTGTAGTAGGCCAGTCCCCTGATTTTTAGAAAGAAGTGTTGACTCCTGCGTTTTTGGTTCTGTAGTAAGCCCATCCCCTGATTTTGAGAAAGAAGTGTTGACCCCTGGGTTTTTGGTTCTGTAGTAAGCCAGTCCCCTGATTTTGAGAAAGAAGTGTTGACCCCTGGGTTTTTGGTTCTGTAGTAAGCCCATCCCCTGATTTTGAGAAAGAAGTGTTGACCCCTGGGTTTTTGGTTCTGTAGTAGGCCAGTCCCCTGATTTTGAGAAAGAAGTGTTGACCCCTGGGTTTTTGGTTCTGTAGTAAGCCAGTCCCCTGATTTTGAGAAAGAAGTGTTGACCCCTGGGTTTTTGGTTCTGTAGTAAGCCAGTCCCCTGATTTTGAGAAAGAAGTGTTGACCCCTGGGTTTTTGGTTCTGTAGTAAGCCCATCCCCTGATTTTGAGAAAGAAGTTTTTGGTTCTGTAGTAAGCCCATCCCCTGATTTTGAGAAAGAAGTGTTCACCCCTGGGTTTTTGGTTCTGTAGTATGCCATCCCCTGATTTTGAGAAAGAAGTGTTGACCCCTGGGTTTTTGGTTCTGTAGTATGCCAGTCCCCTGATTTTGAGAAAGAAGTGTTGACCCCTGGGTTTTTGGTTCTGTAGTAGGCCAGTCCCCTGATTTTGATAAAGAAGTGTTAACCCCTGGGTTTTTGGTTCTGTAGTAAGCCCATCCCCTGATTTTGAGAAAGAAGTGTTGACCCCTGGGTTTTTGGTTCTGTAGTAAGCCCATCCCCTGATTTTGAGAAAGAAGTGTTGACCCCTGGGTTTTTGGTTCAATGCCTGCTGATTTTAAAGAAGTGTTACCCCTGGGTTTTTGGGTTAAGCCCATGTGAGCATTTGTGTCTGACTCTAGGAAATGGGGAACACACCTGTGGTTGTAGTACAGGGTACACAATGTCCAAAAATAACACCTGTGTAGGTAGGTATATATACTGTGTGTGATGTTAGAGGATGGGGAACACATATGTGGTTGTAGTACAGGGTACACAATGTCCAAAAATAACACCTGTATAGGTATATATATATCTGTGTGGGATGTTAGAGGATGAGGAACACACCTGTATAGGTATATATATATACCTGTGTGGGATGTTAGAGGATGGGGAACACACCTGTATAGGTATATATATATACCTGTGTGTGATGTTAGGGGATGGGGAACACACCTGTATAGGTAGGTATATATACCCGTGTGTGATGTGAGGGGATGAGCACCACACCTGTGTAGGTATATATATATACCTGTGTGGGATGTTAGAGGATGGGGAACACACCTGTATAGGTATATATATATACCTGTGTGGGATGTTAGAGGATGGGGAACACACCTGTATAGGTATATATATATACCTGTGTGTGATGTTAGGAAGTGATGGGGGGAACACACCTGTATAGGTATAAGCCAGATTTTGAGAAAGAAGGTATATATACCTGTGTGTGATGTTAGGTAGGCCCATGATTTTGAGGAAAACATATAGGTATATATATATACCTGTGTGTGATGTTAGGGGATGAGCACCACACCTGTATAGGTATATATATATACCTGTGTGTGATGTGAGGGGATGAGGACCACACCTGTATAGCCAATCAAAATGTATATATATATACCTTTGTGTGTGATGCCTGCTCTAAAAACTACAGTGGGATGTGAACACACTTGTGTCTGACTCTAGGGAATGGGGTATACACACCTGTGTTGTATGTACAGGGTACACAATGTCCACACCTGTGTAGGTAGGTATATATACTGTGTGTGATGTTAGAGGATGGGGAACACATATGTGGTTGTAGTACAGGGTACACAATGTCCAAAAATAACACATGTATAGGTAGGTATATATACCTGTGTGTGATGTTAGAAGATGGGGAACACACCTGTATAGGTAGGTATATATACCTGTGTGTGATGTTAGAGGATGAGGAACACACCTGTATAGGTAGGTATATATACCTGTGTGTGATGTTAGAAGATGGGGAACACACCTGTATAGGTAGGTATGTATACCTGTGTGGGATGTTAGAAGATGGGGAACACACCTGTATATGTAGGTATATATACCTGTGTGTGATGTTAGGGGATGAGGAACACACCTGTATAGGTAGGTATATATACCTGTGTGTGATGTTAGGGGATGAGCACCACACCTGTATAGGTATATATATATACCTGTGTGTGATGTTAGGGGATGAGCACCACACCTGTATAGGTAGGTATATATACCTGTGTGTGATGTTAGAGGATGGGGAACACACCTGTATAGGTAGGTATATATACCTGTGTGTGATGTGAGGGGATGAGGACCACACCTGTATAGGTATATATATATACCTGTGTGTGATGTGAGGGGATGGGGAACACACCTGTATAGGTATATATATATACCTGTGTGTGATGTTAGAGGATGGGGAACACACCTGTATAGGTATATATATATACCTGTGTGTGATGTGAGGGGATGGGGAACACACCTGTATAGGTATATATATATACCTGTGTGTGATGTTAGAGGATGGGGAACACACCTGTATAGGTATATATATATACCTGTGTGTGATGTTAGGGGATGGGGAACACACCTGTATAGGTAGGTATATATACCTGTGTGTGATGTTAGAGGATGGGGAACACACCTGTATAGGTATATATATATACCTGTGTGTGATGTTAGGGGATGGGGAACACACCTGTATAGGTATATATATATATACCTGTGTGTGATGTTAGAGGATGGGGAACACACCTGTATAGGTATATATATATACCTGTGTGTGATGTGAGGGGATGAGGACCACACCTGTATAGGTATATATATATACCTGTGTGTGATGTTAGAGGATGGGGAACACACCTGTATAGGTATATATATATACCTGTGTGTGATGTTAGAGGATGGGGAACACACCTGTATAGGTAGGTATATATACCTGTGTGTGATGTGAGGGGATGAGCACCACACCTGTATAGGTAGGTATATATACCTGTGTGGGATGTTAGAGGATGGGGAACACACCTGTATAGGTATATATATATACCTGTGTGGGATGTTAGAGGATGGGGAACACACCTGTATAGGTAGATATATATACCTGTGTGTGATGTGAGGGGATGAGCACCACACCTGTATAGGTATATATATATACCTGTGTGAGATCTGAGTAGAACACGACAAAACTGTATAGGTATATATATATACCTGTGTGTGATGTTAGGGGATGAGCACCACACCTGTATAGGTATATATATATACCTGTGTGTGATGTGAGGGGATGAGGACCACACCTGTATAGGTATATATATATACCTGTGTGTGATGTTTGGAGATGTGGTTAAACCTGTATAGGTAAGTATATACACTGTGTTGTTATCATTCATCTTACCAATTAAATCTGATTTTGAAAAAAATATTTTCAGTTCCAGTACTTGCTGATTTTGATATTACACTATACTTGATCTTGTTGAATGTTTTTCAGCGGTGGAGACTTTCCTTGTCGTGTCTCAGTCCGACCTCATTCGTGGGTTTAACCTCATAAAGAAAGATCACGGAGATGCCATGCCTCCAATCCGTGGTAGAGGTAACTATTAGGAAATATCATTTTATAGATCAAAACATAGGTTAAAATGTTATCATAACAGTGATATTGTAAATTATATTATTCAGCTGAATAAAATTTCTGCCAATCTGTAAAAGTTATACCTGATAAATGCTGCCATACATATACATAGAGGAAATTGTTAACGTTTTCTACTAATTTATTAGAATTGTCAGTAGATTCTTAAGCTGTGTTGAGTTCTTTTTTCCTTTTCACTTTTTCATTTAGATGAAAAAAAACATCCTCTAGTGGATACATAAGTTTGAAGTTAGGACAGAGGTTAGAAGGATAGTGAAGGGGGAACCATGGTGTCAGGACAGAGGTTAGAAGGATGGTGAAGGGGGAACCATGGTGTCAGGACAGAGGTTAGAAGGATGGTGAAGGGGGAACCATGGTGTCAGGACAGAGGTTAGAAGGATAGTGAAGGGGGAGCCATGGTGTCAGGACAGAGGTTAGAAGGATAGTGAAGGGGGAGCCATGGTGTCAGGACAGAGGTTAGAAGGATGGTGAAGGGGGAGCCATGGTGTCAGGACATGGTGTCAGGACAGAGGTTAGAAGGATAGTGAAGGGGGAGCCATGGTCAGGACAGAGGTTAGAAGGAGGACAGAGGTTAGAAGGATAGTGAAGGGGGAGCCATGGTGTCAGGACAGAGGTTAGAAGGATAGTGAAGGGGGGATGGTGTCAGGACAGAGGTTAGAAGGATGGTGAAGGGGGAGCCATGGTGTCAGGACAGAGGTTAGAAGGATGGTGAAGGGGGAGCCATGGTGTCAGGACAGAAGTTAGAAGGATAGTGAAGGGGGAGCCATGGTGTCAGGACAGAGGTTAGAAGGATAGTGAAGGGGGAGCCATGGTGTCAGGACAGAGGTTAGAAGGATGGTGAAGGGGGAGCCATGGTGTCAGGACAGAGGTTAGAAGGATGGTGAAGGGGGAGCCATGGTGTCAGGACAGAGGTTAGAAGGATGGTGAAGGGGGAGCCATGGTGTCAGGACAGAGGTTAGAAGGATAGTGAAGGGGGAGCCATGGTGTCAGGACAGAGGTTAGAAGGATAGTGAAGGGGGAGCCATGGTGTCAGGACAGAGGTTAGAAGGATGGTGAAGGGGGAGCCATGGTGTCAGGACAGAGGTTAGAAGGATAGTGAAGGGGGAGCCATGGTGTCAGGACAGAGGTTAGAAGGATGGTGAAGGGGGAGCCATGGTGTCAGGACAGAAGTTAGAAGGATAGTGAAGGGGGAGCCATGGTGTCAGGACAGAGGTTAGAAGGATGGTGAAGGGGAGCCATGTTGTTACAAATATTACATTTAAATATGTGTGGAGGTTGGTGGGATAGGGTTAGGTTTTACCGTTGTTTCATTTCCCGATGACAGACAGACGAGTGATTGAAGTGGATGTTCATGTTGAGAATGACCACATCTACTGGATTGATCATGACCCTACAGGCCTTAGGGGGCGAAACTTTAATGGTATACGACGAATCAAGCGTGACGGCTCAGAGTTTGAGCAGATCATCAATACTGGCACTGGTCTGAAGCCTGGAGATGGAGTTAAGGGTCTGACTGTGGATTGGGTGGCAGGTATTTAGTAACATTATTGTGGGCTACTGTTGTCGTTCACTTTCATCATTGCTGTATTCTAAAATATCACTACTGTAATCACTATTTTGTAAATATTTTTTGAAATAGCTCCATTCAGGAATGAATAATTCTTCTTTTTGAATATCATAAGTTAATTTTGCATTTCTAAATTAGTTTCATTATGTTTGCAATGATTCAGGAAACATATACTTTTCCAATATCAAGAATTACGAGACTTATATTGAGGCTGCGAGGATGAATGGATCACATCGCCTTGTTCTCATACAGGAGAGAGAATCTTCTCCTTGGGCCCTAGCTGTTAACCCAATCAAAAGGTAGGCCTGTAGGTTTCAGGAGAAAGTGATCTCCCTTGGTCCACAACATGAAATCTAAATGAGATGTAAAGTTTTATACCGTAACGATCAACACAATCAATATGTAGTCTTTTCTAGGTATGTGCTTGTTTAGATCATGGAGTTTAGTTTATTTTTAGCATCAAGATGAGATAACTGTATTTCAGGTACCTCTACTGGGTTGATAAAGGGCAGTTCCCAAAGATTGAGCGTGCTCATCTAGATGGAACACATCGCAAGATTATAATTGATAAAGGCATTGTACGCCCCTACAGCATCACCATCGACATTGTAACACATGATGTCTACTGGGTGGATACACGAGTGGATGCTATACAGGTAACACACTAAATCGTCTGTCTAGTAAACATCACAGGTCTACTCAGTGTCACAATAGCAGTCATATTAGATTGAAGTAAAAAATAAAGTGAAATATTGATGATAAAATGGATTGTTGTAGTAATAAATCTGAGGATCCTACCTGTTACAAAACCATTAAGAGGAATTCCTTACCTGTAATTAACAGAAAGTCTCCTACACTGGCGGAGGGAGAGCCTACATCCGTACCAACCTTCCATCTCCAATCAGCATCACCATCCTTGGTAACCAAATCTTCTGGGCTGACTCCAAACTCAAACAGGTAACAAGACTCTCTTTTTTCACACAAGGAATTGTGATGTCAATACATTGATAATAAGTGGTACTGTGTTTTTATGTTTGGTGAGAAGTGAACTCTTCATCTTAAAACACATATTGTTGTTTTATACAGGTATTGAAAATATACAAAAAAAACATATTGGAACCAAAAATCGTGAGAAACAGCATCAACAACCTGCGCAGTATTGCTATGTTTGATGCATCCAAGCAACCTAAAGGTAAAAATCGCAAGCCAAGTTATTTCTGTGGTTTTTTTCTATATTTATATTATGTAGGAAGAACATGATTTTGGTGGTAGTCAGTGAAATGGTCCTGTTTAAAAATCACCTGTATATAGAGATAAATGGTCTATAATTTATTTATGTCACTAATTCTGATGCATTTTGTTATATATTACTAAAAAAATACAACCATGATAGTGTAATAGAAGCTCTTTGAGTGTGATGTTAACATAACTACCATATTTATTCCAATAAACACCCTGGGGGCGTGAAATTTTTCAGACAGGGGGCGATTAATAGAACACAAAATTTCATAATTTGTTGGTCGTGAGATGCCATGGCTGCCACTTAAAAACATTGTTTAACAAACTAACGAATTACTCAAAAAAGAATGCATTTGAAAATTGCAGTAATTCCAACATCGTTGTGGTGTTAAACATTGTTGTCAATTGCATTCTGATAACCTGAATTCTTGTATGAAATGACACAATGTCAATCGTGTCAGCTTCTGTCAAAAACGTACAATGTTCATCATCGCTTGTAGGCCTAGTTTGCATAACAAAATAAAAAAACACAGCGGTATATAAGCTAGTCTGTTTCTTAATAAATGCCACATACCTGATAACAATGTCTGGGACAAAACGAAATTATGACACTGCTTTCAAGCTTAAAGTAATCGCCTTCGCAGAGAAGAGTAAACATGCCGCCGCGAAAGTGTTTTGTGTTGACAGAAAACGAGTGCGGGACTGGTGTCAAAACAATGAAAAATTAAAAAATCTTTCTAAAACATCTAAACGCTGTAAAGGAGGTGGGAGGCATGTCAGATATGAAGATATTGACAAAAATCTGATGAGATGGCTACAGGACAGCGTGAGGCCGGAATACGAGTGACTGGGAAAGCATTGCGGTTTGAGGCCCTGCGTATACATAAGGCAAATGGTAGTCAATCATTCAAAGCCTCATATGGATGGTTTTCTAAATTCAAAAAGAGACATAACATTTCGTTCAGGTGATCTACGCATATGGTACAACATGAAGTTTCATTAAGTGATGATCGTATTGACAGTTTTTTGAATTTCGTGTTAAGAATACGTTGGCTACGAGAATACCCCGATAATCGCCTCTCAGGCGGTTATTAGTATGGGATGCTTTCTGTGGTCATCTTACTGAAGATGTAAAAAAACTGGTTCGTCAAAAATATAATTCAGACATCTGTGTTATACCCGGAGGATGTACATGTAAGCTACAGCCAGCCGATGTGTCATGGAATAAACCCTTCAAACAAAAATTTGGAGAGACGAATGGTGTTTCAGTGGCCCCATTGAGAAAACCAAAGCAGGGAATCCTAAAGCCCCATCTAAAGCTGTAATGTTGTCTTGGGTCAAGACAGCATGGGATAGCATTAGCCCGGACACAATCAGAAGATCGTTAAAAAAATGCAGTATCACAAAGTCGCTGGACGGTAGAGAGGATCATATTTTCCAGCATAATTCTGACGATGAAGAATTCCAGGGGTTTAGTGAAAAGGATGTCCAAGCTGCAGATGACATTTTGCAAAATTAAATGGCTGATGTGAACGCGCCTTCTATTCCACAAATAGAACTAAGTGAAAGCGAGACTGGTAAAAGTGAAAGTGAAGACAGTAGTTCATATGGCAGTCCCGGCCGTTAGGCCTGCAGTATATTGAAATGAACCGTGGATTAAATTGATATTACTTGTGTACATGTCGTGACGGTGTAATTTTCTTGTGCCAAAATTCATTTGTTCATGTTCATGGATACCAGGAATTTAAAATTTATTAAAAGGTAAGCTTTGTAACCTGACTCCTGAGTTGTTGAAATTTACTACAAAAAAAGGTGGGGGGCGTTTATTAGAGACGGGGCGTTTATTGGAATAAATACGGTACATGGTCATGGACCTTCATCAGACAAATATGACCAGTGTGGAGTGTACTAGCACTGATGTATGTAGTGTACAAGATGGAAGATGGTAACAAATCTTGCAAGTTTTTTTTAATTTTCTATAATCCTTTCTACACTAATGTCGAAAATAGTCGGAGATGGTAAACAGATTATAGAAAAAAAAGTATGCAAGATCGTAACAATGTGTTGTAGTCAATTTGGCTACATTTTGTTTAATACTTGGTCATAGATGTATCAGAGTTTGTGGCCCCCCTCATTCCTGTTCACTGGTTGTGTTATGAGAACTTCTGTTCTATTGACATTATCAACTGTTATTATCATTGTAATTATGATAACAATAGCAATAGCAGTAACTTCAGGGATGAACTTGACAGTTTCGTAGATACCTGGATACAAATGTCATAATGAGATGTATTGTACAATTAACAGTGTTGCCAGTTCACTCAGTTTTGTCAGGTCAGCCTGACATTGGCTAGCATAAATCATGAAAAATGCTAGAATCATCTTATATATCTTTTTTTTTTTTTATGTATTTGAAAAATTTTTAATCAGGTTTTGGATCTAATTTTGTCAAAAAAATTTCAAACATTACAGATCATCTGGATGTGATAACCATAGAACTGATTATAAGGTCTTTTATCATCTAAACCTTTAAAACACCCAATCACCCTTGGGTTTGAAGAGCTGTCACTAGATATAAGATTACAAGAAGTAACTAGAAGTAAACATCAATGTATATGTAGTTTATGTAACAGATGCCAAAGATGTCATTGTTTTACTTTAACTTATATATATACAAATATCATTGGTTAGGATTACATGAATTCTTATACTTAAAAAGATCACCGGATAGTCTATAGATATATATATACAAATATCATTGGTTAGGATTACATGGATTCTTATACTTAAAAAGATCACCGGATAGTCTATAGATATATATATACAAATATCATTGGTTAGGATTACATGGATTCATATACTTAAAAAGATCACCGGATAGTCTATAGATATATATATACAAATATCATTGGTTAGGATTACATGGATTCTTATACTTAAAAAGATCACCGTATAGTCTATAGATATATATATACAAATATCATTGGTTAGGATTACATGGATTCTTATACGTAAAAAGATCACCGGATAGTCTATAGATATATATATACAAATATCATTGGTTAGGATTACATGAATTCTTATACTTAAAAAGATCACCGGATAGTCTATAGATATATATATACAAATATCATTGGTTAGGATTACATGAATTCTTATACTTAAAAAGATCACCGTATAGTCTATAGATATATATATACAAATATCATTGGTTAGGATTACATGAATTCTTATACTTAAAAAGATCACCGTATAGTCTATAGATATATATATATACAAATATCATTGGTTAGGATTACATGAATTCTTATACTTAAAAAGATCACCGTATAGTCTATAGATATATATATACAAATATCATTGGTTAGGATTACATGGATTCTTATACTTAAAAAGATCACCGTATAGTCTATAGATATATATATACAAATATCATTGTTAGGATTACATGAATTCTTATACTTAAAAAGATCACCGTATAGTCTATAGATATATATATACAAATATCATTGGTTAGGATTACATGGATTCTTATACTTAAAAAGATCACCGTATAGTCTATAGATATATATATACAAATATCATTGGTTAGGATTACATGGATTCTTATACTTAAAAAGATCACCGTATAGTCTATAGATATATATATACAAATATCATTGGTTAGGATTACATGGATTCTTATACTTAAAAAGATCACCGTATAGTCTATAGATATATATATACAAATATCATTGGTTAGGATTACATGGATTCTTATACTTAAAAAGATCACCGGATAGTCTATAGATATATATATACAAATATCATTGGTTAGGATTACATGAATTCTTATACTTAAAAAGATCACCGGATAGTCTATAGATATATATATACAAATATCATTGGTTAGGATTACATGGATTCATATACTTAAAAAGATCACCGTATAGTCTATAGATATATATATACAAATATCATTGGTTAGGATTACATGGATTCTTATACTTAAAAAGATCACCGGATAGTCTATAGATATATATATACAAATATCATTGGTTAGGATTACATGGATTCTTATACTTAAAAAGATCACCGGATAGTCTATAGATATATATATACAAATATCATTGGTTAGGATTACATGGATTCATATACTTAAAAAGATCACCGTATAGTCTATAGATATATATATACAAATATCATTGGTTAGGATTACATGGATTCTTATACTTAAAAAGATCACCGTATAGTCTATAGATATATATATACAAATATCATTGGTTAGGATTACATGGATTCTTATACTTAAAAAGATCACCGTATAGTCTATAGATATATATATACAAATATCATTGGTTAGGATTACATGGATTCTTATACTTAAAAGGATCACCGTATAGTCTATAGATATATATATACAAATATCATTGGTTAGGATTACATGAATTCTTATACTTAAAAAGATCACCGTATAGTCTATAGATATATATATACAAATATCATTGGTTAGGATTACATGGATTCTTATACTTAAAAAGATCACCGTATAGTCTATAGATATATATATACAAATATCATTGGTTAGGATTACATGGATTCTTATACTTAAAAAGATCACCGGATAGTCTATAGATATATATATACAAATATCATTGGTTAGGATTACATGGATTCTTATACTTAAAAAGATCACCGTATAGTCTATAGATATATATATACAAATATCATTGGTTAGGATTACATGGATTCTTATACTTAAAAAGATCACCGTATAGTCTATAGATATATATATACAAATATCATTGGTTAGGATTACATGGATTCTTATACTTAAAAAGATCACCGTATAGTCTATAGATATATATATACAAATATCATTGGTTAGGATTACATGGATTCTTATACTTAAAAAGATCACCGTATAGTCTATAGATATATATATACAAATATCATTGGTTAGGATTACATGGATTCTTATACTTAAAAAGATCACCGTATAGTCTATAGATATATATATACAAATATCATTGGTTAGGATTACATGGATTCTTATACTTAAAAAGATCACCGTATAGTCTATAGATATATATATACAAATATCATTGGTTAGGATTACATGGATTCTTATACTTAAAAAGATCACCGGATAGTCTATAGATATATATATACAAATATCATTGGTTAGGATTACATGGATTCTTATACTTAAAAAGATCACCGGATAGTCTATAGATATATATATACAAATATCATTGGTTAGGATTACATGGATTCTTATACTTAAAAAGATCACCGTATAGTCTATAGATATATATATACAAATATCATTGGTTAGGATTACATGGATTCTTATACTTAAAAAGATCACCGTATAGTCTATAGATATATATATACAAATATCATTGGTTAGGATTACATGGATTCTTATACTTAAAAAGATCACCGTATAGTCTATAGATATATATATACAAATATCATTGGTTAGGATTACATGGATTCTTATACTTAAAAAGATCACCGGATAGTCTATAGATATATATATACAAATATCATTGGTTAGGATTACATGGATTCTTATACTTAAAAAGATCACCGGATAGTCTATAGATATATATATACAAATATCATTGGTTAGGATTACATGGATTCTTATACTTAAAAAGATCACCGGATAGTCTATAGATATATATATACAGAAAAGCAGGGAAAAATTGAATTAATTGGTAGGGTTTTTTCAGAAAAAGCCTTTAACATGTCAAGCAGCTTGATTTAAAGTTTTAGTTATTACTGCCATTCATGCAGAGAGTAGCATATCAATTTTGGATTATTTTTATTGCAGTGGAGAATCCTTGTTCAGGACCAGACAATGGAGGGTGTGAACAGCTGTGTTTTGCCAAACCTAACAAGACAAAGCCTGTGTGTATGTGTTCTACAGGAGACCTGGCTCCTGACAACAAAACCTGTAGTGGTAGGTACCAAACCTAACAAGACACAGTCTGTGTGTGTTCTGTAAGAGACCTGGCTCCTGACAACAAAACCTGTAATGGTAGGTACCAAACCTAGCAATACACAGTCTGTGTGTGTTCTGTAGGAGACCTGGCTCCTGACAACAAAACCTGTAGTGGTAGGTACCAAACCTAGCAATACAGTCTGTGTGTGTTCTATAGATCTGGCTCCTGACAACAAAACCTGTAATGGTAGGTACCAAACCTAGCAATACAGTCTGTGTGTGTTCTACAGGAGACCTGGCTCCTGATAACAAAACCTGTAATGGTAGGTACCAAACCTAGCAATACAGTCTGTGTGTGTTCTGTAGGAGACCTGGCTCCTGACAACAAAACCTGTAGTGGTAGGTACCAAACCTAGCAATACACAGTCTGTGTGTGTTCTATAGATCTGGCTCCTGACAACAAAACCTGTAGTGGTAGGTACCAAACCTAGCAATACACAGTCTGTGTGTGTTCTATAGATCTGGCTCCTGACAACAAAACCTGTAGTGGTAGTTACCAAACCTAGCAATACACAGTCTGTGTGTGTTCTGTAGGAGACCTGGCTCCTGACAACAAAACCTGTAATGGTAGGTACCAAACCTAGCAATACACAGTCTGTGTGTGTTCTATAGATCTGGCTCCTGACAACAAAACCTGTAGTGGTAGTTACCAAACCTAGCAATACACAGTCTGTGTGTGTTCTGTAGGAGACCTGGCTCCTGACAACAAAACCTGTAGTGGTAGGTACCAAACCTAGCAATACAGTCTGTGTGTGTTCTGTAGGAGACCTGGCTCCTGACAACAAAACCTGTAGTGGTAGGTACCAAACCTAACAAGACACAGTCTGTGTGTGTTCTGTAGGAGACCTGGCTCCTGACAACAAAACCTGTAATGGTAGGTACCAAACCTAGCAATACACAGTCTGTGTGTGTTCTGTAGGAGACCTGGCTCCTGACAACAAAACCTGTAGTGGTAGGTACCAAACCTAGCAATACAGTCTGTGTGTGTTCTATAGATCTGGCTCCTGACAACAAAACCTGTAGTGGTAGGTACCAAACCTAACAAGACACAGTCTGTGTGTGTTCTGTAGGAGACCTGGCTCCTGACAACAAAACCTGTAATGGTAGGTACCAAACCTAGCAATACACAGTCTGTGTGTGTTCTATAGATCTGGCTCCTGACAACAAAACCTGTAGTGGTAGTTACCAAACCTAGCAATACACAGTCTGTGTGTGTTCTGTAGGAGACCTGGCTCCTGACAACAAAACCTGTAATGGTAGGTACCAAACCTAGCAATACACAGTCTGTGTGTGTTCTATAGATCTGGCTCCTGACAACAAAACCTGTAGTGGTAGTTACCAAACCTAGCAATACACAGTCTGTGTGTGTTCTGTAGGAGACCTGGCTCCTGACAACAAAACCTGTAGTGGTAGGTACCAAACCTAGCAATACAGTCTGTGTGTGTTCTGTAGGAGACCTGGCTCCTGACAACAAAACCTGTAGTGGTAGGTACCAAACCTAACAAGACACAGTCTGTGTGTGTTCTGTAGGAGACCTGGCTCCTGACAACAAAACCTGTAATGGTAGGTACCAAACCTAGCAATACACAGTCTGTGTGTGTTCTGTAGGAGACCTGGCTCCTGACAACAAAACCTGTAGTGGTAGGTACCAGATCTAGCAATACACAGTCTGTGTGTGTTCTATAGACCTGGCTCCTGACAACAAAACCTGTAGTGGTAGGTAGCAAACCTAACAAGACACAGTCTGTGTGTGTTCTATAGACCTGGCTCCTGACAACAAAACCTGTAGTGGTAGGTACCAAACCTAGCAATACAGTCTGTGTGTGTTCTGTAGGAGACCTGGCTCCTGACAACAAAACCTGTAATGGTAGGCACTTTTCTTTTCACTTTTGCCTTGATACCAGTTACAAAAATTTTTTTTGTGCCTTTCAAACATGAACACTTGTATAAGAGATCTTTTGTTGCTAATATCAAGAAAAACTTAAATTTTACGATAAAGTGTTTAAACTTTTCAGCTCCGTCCGACTTCTTAATAGTTGCCTCAGAAAGTGAGATAATTACATTGTCTTTGGACCCAGACGTTCACTCTGCACCTCTCCCTCCGATCACCAAGCTTAGTGGGGCTGTTGCTGTCGACTTTGATTACACCAATCGGTACATCTACTTCTCTCAAGTGCTGGGACGCAAACTGAGCAGAGTGAAGATTGACAGTTCTGAAGTAGAAAACATTGTAGACACCATCAATATCACATGTAAGGTCAATGTTATTAGGTTAATTGTACAGTAGGTCAAGGTCAAGATTTGACTTATGTTGCTCTGAATGTTTGTTTCAAGTTCAGTTTATAATCAGTGTTATGAGCCAAGCAGTGAACAAGGTCAAGGTCATGATCAGTATACCCGGAACCTTTTTTATCAAAGAATTACTTTTGATGAACTGTTTTATTGTGTGGAGTAAAATTTGAATAAGTGCTTTTCCAGTAAAATATCTCTCCCATATCAGGAGTCCAGGATTTGTTAGAGCTGGTGCAACAAAACATGAAAAGTAGAAATGGAATAATGAAATTGATTCTCCTGTTGTAGTGTTTGAGAGTTTACAGAAGACTGACAGCCGAGGGTTTGTAATACAGAGATTTATATACATGTTGTAGTGTTTGAGAGTTTACAGAAGACTGTGACAGCCGAGGGTTTGTAATACAGAGATTTATATATATGTTGTAGCGTTTGAGAGTTTACAGAAGACTGTGACAGCTGAGGGTTTGGCCACCGACTGGGTCGGACAGAAGATGTACTGGGCGGATGTCTTCCTCAGCCGCATTTTCAGTCTTGACTTCAATGCAACAAACAAAGTTGCTCTTGCCAATGTTGCTAATCCACGTGCAGTGGCTGTACATCCTTGCAAGGGGTAGGTTGTCTCCCTTGGTAGGTTGATAAGTGCTTTTGTTCCCTTGTTAAATACTGGGTAGTTGGTTCCCATGTTGCTGTTCTGATCACCTTGAAGTAGTGAACTTAATTTCAAAACATTAATTTGTTTTAGAAACTGTTGTGGATTTCTAATTGATAATAATTTGTTGTCTTACAACAACTTCATACAAAGAAGTGTAATTCTGGTGTCTATGTTGTGTTGTCAGGTATCTGTTCTGGACCGACTGGGGTCGTCTCCCTAAAATAGAACGAGCTACAATGTCTGGAAATGGTCGTAAGACAATTGTATCTACAGACCTGGGCTGGCCTAATGGTCTGAGCATTGATTATGATGGGGATATGATCTACTGGGCTGATGCATTGCGAGACCGTATTGAAAGGTCAAATCTCAATGGACAATACCGTGAAGTCATCGTCCAGTCAACTGTTCATCCTTTCTCAATGACTGTTCACAAGCACTATATATACTGGACTGACTGGACACTTCGTAAGGATTGAAGAAATTACTTGAGGATAAATACTACCTCCCATTTTAGTGTTCATGAATGGTAGAGCTCCATGTTAAATGTGATTTTACCTCTCACCTCAGTGTTAATGAATGGTAGAGCTCCATGTTAAATGTGATTTTACCTCTCACCTCAGTGTTAATGAATGGTAGAGCTCCATGTTAAATGTGGTTTTTACTCTCATCTCAATGTTAATGAATGGTAGAGCTCCATGTTAAATGTGGTTTTTACTCTCACCTCAGTGTTAATGAATGGTAGAACTCCCTGTTAAATGTGGTTTTTACTCTCACCTCAGTGTTAATGAATGGTAGAACTCCATGTTAAATATGGTTTTTACTCTCACCTCAGTGTTAATGAATGGTAGAGCTCTATGTTAAATGTGGTTTTTACTCTCACCTCAGTGTTAATGAACCTCAGTGTTAATGTAGAACTCCATGTTAAAGTTTTTACTCTCACCTCATGTTAATGAATGGTAGAGCTCCATGTTAAATGTGGTTTTTACTCTCACCTCAGTGTTAATGAATGGTAGAGCTCCATGTTAAATGTGATTTTACCTCTCACCTCAGTGTTAATGAATGGTAGAGCTCCATGTTAAATGTGGTTTTTACTCTCACCTCAGTGTTAATGAATGGTAGAGCTCCATGTTAAATGTGGTTTTTACTCTCATCTCAGTGTTAATGAATGGTAGAGCTCCATGTTAAATGTGATTTTACCTCCTACCTCAATGTTAATGAATGGTAGAACTCCCTGTTAAATGTGGTTTTTACTCTCACCTCAGTGTTAATGAATGGTAGAGCTCCATGTTAAATGTGGTTTTTACTCTCATCTCAATGTTAATGAATGGTAGAGCTCCATGTTAAATGTGATTTTACCTCTCACCTCAGTGTTAATGAATGGTAGAACTCCCTGTTAAAAGTGGTTTTACCTCCTACCTCAATGTTAATGAATGGTAGAACTCCATGTTAAATATGGTTTTACCTCTCACCTCAGTGTTAATGAATGGTAGAGCTCCATGTTAAATGTGGTTTTTACTCTCATCTCAATGTTAATGAATGGTAGAGCTCCATGTTAAATGTGATTTTACTCTCTCATGTGGTTTTTACTCTCATCTCCTCATGTTAAATGGTGAGCTCCATGTTAAATGTGATTTTACCTCTCACCTCAGTGTTAATGAATGGTAGCTCCATGTTAAAATGGTTTGTTAAACTCTCACCTCAGTGTTAATGAATGGTAGAGCTCCTGTTAAAATGTTAAATGTGATTTTACCTCTCACCTCAGTGTTAATGAATGGTAGAGCTCCATGTTAAATGTGGTTTTTACTCTCATCTCAGTGTTAATGAATGGTAGAGCTCCATGTTAAATGTGATTTTACCTCTCACCTCAGTGTTAATGAATGGTAGAGCTCCATGTTAAATGTGGTTTTTACTCTCACCTCAGTGTTAATGAATGGTAGAACTCCATGTTAAATGTGGTTTTTACTCTCACCTCAGTGTTAATGAATGGTAGAGCTCCATGTTAAATGTGATTTTACCTCTCACCTCAGTGTTAATGAATGGTAGAGCTCCATGTTAAATGTGATTTTACCTCTCACCTCAGTGTTAATGAATGGTAGAACTCCCTGTTAAATGTGATTTTTACTCTCATCTCAGTGTTAATGAATGTTTGAGTTCCATGTTAAATGTATTTTATTGAACATCTAATAATTTTTGGTTATTTGATTCATTTGATGTTTACACTTATAAAGTTTATCTAGAAACAAATATATCAAATATATAGCTGCTAAAACAGAAAAATTTAAATCCTTTTGAATTAAAATTAGTTTTCTCCCTTTTTACTAATTAACATAATATTGTGGTGTCGTTAATCACAATTGATAAATTAAATGTTTTCATAACCAGACGGAGTGTATCGTGCAGAAAAACATACAGGAGCTAACATGATTGTAATGAAAGAGGGAATAACTCACCGACCAATGGGCATCAATGTCTTCTCCAATCAGCGCCAGAAATGTACGTTGTCATGGTAACATAACTGATATTATTGGTATGCAGATCTCTGAAAGGTCCTCTTATCAGGATTTGTAGAATTAACCTAATAATTATGTTGTCAATCCTCACCACTGGTTATATTGCTTTATTCAACTCTGTGTTTATATTGAGTGTCCAACGAAAGTGTCATGGCTACCAGAGCAGGCAGATGCCACCTACCTATCTGCTTACTTCCAAATATGATTTCTGATCAACACTTTCTTTTCACCTCTGTCTTACATCCTGTACCGGTAACTATTGGATAATGGTTTTCTAGTCTCTGAGAATAATGTGACAGGATGAAATGTCTGGATTAATGCCTTCAAGTGATAGAGACATAGCAGAAATAAAACTTTGAAGAAAAAAACCCAGGACTTAAACTGTCACTGATGGAAGCAGAGACAAGTGGAATGGAACAGGTTTAATAACTTTAATTTATATATAGACCAAAAACACGTGACCTTTACAGACAGGTATTTTTTATATACATGTGACCTTTACAGACAGGTATTTTTTATATACATGTGACCTTTACAGACAGGTATTTGTTATATACATGTGACCTTTATAAACAGGTATTTGTTATATACATGTGACCTTTATAAACAGTTAATTGTTTTATACAGTTGTTGAAGCTGGTTCTAGGGTAAAATTAAAAAATTTCTTTTCTCAGGTACGGCCAATCCCTGTGAGATTTACAATGGTGGATGTGCCCATAGCTGTCACCCCGCACCTGATGGTAAGGCCGAGTGTCAGTGCAGTGATATTGGTTTGACCCTAGGAGAGGACGGAAAGTCCTGTGTACCTCTAAAGCATACATGTGGGACTGAAAACTTTGTGTGTGCCAATGGCCGCTGTCTGAGTCATCGCTGGGTATGTGACTCTGATGAAGATTGTAAGGATGGATCTGACGAAAACCCAAATATGTGTGGTATGTTTAACTTTTCTCAAATAAAACGATGAGTTATGATAGCACAGTTTGAATACCTTAGTATATTGTATTTGAAAAACTACGTCAATTACTTTATATCTGTGGAGTTTGGGTTGGATTTGGCAATGTTTAGAAAAGAGTATGACCCTTGACATGTGTTTTTGCTGTTTAATTAATAAAAGAAAGAAAAATCCAAATACTTGTTCGAAATCAAAAAATAAAATGTCAAAATTATTGATAACTTTGAAATTGTTGACACAATGATATTGTCACCTTAAAACCATTGAGTGATTTTCTATAACAGGGGAGAAATTCAGAATTGAGTGGAATAAGTGATTGTTTATTGCCAAAAGTTACAATTAAAATGACTTGTTACAGCAACCCACACTTGTGACCCGACCTATTTCCGATGTGACAACGGTAGATGTATCCCTCCCCGCTACCGATGTGATCATGACAATGATTGTCAGGACAATTCTGATGAACGTGACTGTGGTATGGTGAAATGGAAATCACTGAGTTTATAAATTAATATCACAGATATAGATCTGATTTTGAAAATAGAAAATAAATTTAAATAACATTATGTTTTTGCATATTTAGATAAATTCATATAAAACATTTGGTATTTTGAAGATTTATATCGCAGTTTAGAACTGTAGCTCTTTCCATAATTTCAGTGGAAAGTCATTAATAAGCCTATAAGCCACCAGGCTATGTCAGAGAATTCAAAGGAAGAATGATTGATTGTAAAATTTTGAGCGTTTATTTAGTAACAACAATTGGGAGTTTTATCGTTTTCTTTGTGATTGTAGACTACAAGCCATGTGGCAGTGACCAATTTACCTGTAGCAACTCTCGGTGTATCAACAAAAACCTAGTGTGTAACCGAATAGACAATTGTCGTGATGGCAACCGTACAGATGAGGCCAACTGCCGTGAGTAGCCATGTCAACAAATGAAATCTTAAACAACATTTCATTTTTGTTTAAGTTGAACTTTTTTTTACTTGATTGATAAATGTCTGTAGATGTTTTGATTCTGGATATATTTTGTCATGATTGGTGCCTGTAACTTGGAAAAGCTGAACATTTATAATGTTTTTTAATATGTGTGAAGTGTTTGTTTACTGATGAAAATGTGGTAAATTCATGTGACTCGAATCTCATCTGATTTTCAATGACAGCCGAGAAGACTTGTGCCCCCGGAGAGACAAAGTGCCCAAACAGTAATGTGTGTTTGGCGCGTCAGTACCTGTGTGATGGAGATAATGACTGTGGTGATAACTCTGATGAAAACCCACTTTTCTGTAGGAAAGTCACCTGCCCTCTTGGTTTGTTTACTGATGAAAACTTGCACTTCTGTCATAAGTTACCGTGTCTTTAGATGTAGATTTGTTTACTGTTTCATGTTTGATGATAGCTGTTTGCTAGCTACAACTAACCACTTCCAGTGCATGAAACAACTTTCGTTTTCACTATGAAACATTACAGACTTGTTTTGTTGGATAGAGTACCATTGATAGCTTATAACTTTTGTGCAATTAACGGGTATTGAAATAGCTAGTGGACAGTGATACGGAAGGATGGAACTTTGGCCTTGAAATAGCATTTGGAAATTCAGTGGAAAAGTGAGGCCTAGGTAGCAGGATAGGTCTTGGGGGTGTTAAAGTTAGTTTGTTCATACAAGTATCACAACCCCTGTTACAGGGAGACCGAAGACAATGGAATTAATCCCCTGTTCTATTTTAGGTCAGTTCTACTGTACAAAGTCACTCAAGTGTATCCCAGGATCATGGTACTGTGACGGAGATGATGATTGTGGTGCTGGTGAGGATGAACCCCCTACATGTGGTAAGTCGAGGTCAAACATATTTACATATTAGGATGATCACAGATTAAAATGAAAAAGAATAATCTATTTTAGTCTTGAAAATTGTTAATAACATGGAGACTAGTTCAATGATCTCTACAAAGACCACCTGTCAACAGAAAGTCATTTGTAGTCTTTATAAACACAACAAGCTGTCAGATACTTCAAATATCCTTTTCAAATTTTCAAATTAAGAATGAAATACCGCTAGAATTATTAGCCCACCATCTATTAGATGGTGGGTTATTCAAATCGTCCTGTGTCCGTGGTCCGTCTGTCTGTCTGTCCGTCTGTAAACAATTCTTGTTACCGCTATTTCTGGAAAAGTACTGGATGGATCTTTCTCAAATTTCATATGCAGGTTCCCCTTGGTCCCTAGTTGTGCATTGTACCTTTTTTGAACTGATTCGAATTCAAGATGGCAGACAGGTGGCCATCTTGGATTTTGGAAGTAAAAGTTTGTTACCGCTATTTCTGAGAAAGTACTGGATGGATCTTCCTCAAATTTCATATGCAGTTTCCCCTTGGTCCCTAGTTGTGCATTGTACCTTTTTTGGACTGATTTGAATTCAAGATGGCCGACAGGCAGCCATCTTGGATTTTGGAAGTAAAAGTTTGTTACTGCTATTTCTTGGAAAGTACTGGATGGATCTTTCTCAAATTTCATATGCAGTTTCCCCTTGGTCCCTAGTTGTGCATTGTACCTTTTTTGGACTTATTTGAAATCAAGGTGGCCCACAGGCAGCCATCTTGGATGTCGACAGTAATACAGCACAAGCATATTGTCCATTATCCACCTGTAACTGACTGCTATCTAATAATACTTTGGGATCTTTTTCAAATGATATTTGCTAATAGGTGCTTAATAAAAATATCTTGTGCCATCATTGAGTACATTCAATGAAGACCAGTTCATGAACATTTACAAAACCTGTAACAAACAAAAAAAAATAAACAAATCTTCAAGAACTGAAAACAGATCCTCAAATGGTGGGCGCCAAGATCCCTCTGGGATCTCTTGTCAAGATATGCGATGATGTCCTGCCATAGTTTAGTGATTAATATTGTAGTGAACAACAGCTCAGCCTGTATTGGGACACAGTTTGTCTGTAACAATAAAAAGTGTATCTCACGACGCTGGGTGTGTGACGGCGACGATGACTGTGGTGATAACAGTGATGAAGAGAAAGGACTCAACTGTGGTAGGTTAACTGTTTAAAACCTTTTCTGTGACCTTTAGCCTTTCACCCAAAGAGAAGATAACCTTTTACAGGCATTTCCATTGTCCACATTTGAATTGTCAGGGATCATCAGTCTGGTGTTGTGTATATGTAAGTCTGAATGACCTAAGATCTTCAGGTGTTGTGGTGTATATGTAAGTCTGAATGGCTTAAGATCTTCAGGTGTTGTGGTGTATATGTAAGTCTGAATGACCTAAGATCTTCAGGTGTTGTGGTGTATATGTAAGTCTGAATGGCCTAAGATCTTCAGGTGTTGCGGTTAATATGTAAGTCTGAATGGCTTAAGATCTTCAGGTGTTGTGGTGTATATGTAAGTCTGAATGACCTAAGATCTTCAGGTGTTGTGGTGTATATGTAAGTCTGAATGGCTTAAGATCTTCAGGTGTTGTGGTGTATATGTAAGTCTGAATGGCTTAAGATCTTCAGGTGTTGTGGTGTATATGTAAGTCTGAAACATCTAAGATCTTCAGGTGTTGTGGTGTATATGTAAGTCTAAATGGCCTAAGATCTTCAGGTGTTGTGGTGTATATGTAAGTCTGAATGGCCTAAGATCTTCAGGTGTTGTGGTGTATATGTAAGTCTAAATGGCCTAAGATCTTCAGGTGTTGTGGTGTATATGTAAGTCTAAATGGCCTAAGATCTTCAGGTGTTGTGGTTTATATGTAAGTCTAAATGGCCTAAGATCTTCAGGTGTTGTGGTGTATATGTAAGTCTGAAACATCTAAGATCTTCAGGTGTTGTGGTTTATATGTAAGTCTGAAACATCTAAGATCTTCAGGTGTTGTGGTTTATATGGAAGTCTAAATGGCCTAAGATCTTCAGGTGTTGTGGTGTATATGTAAGTCTAAATGGCCTAAGATCTTCAGGTGTTGTGGTTTATATGTAAGTCTAAATGGCTTAAGATCTTTGAGTTAGGTAGTGTATATGTTAGAGAATGAATGTTAAAGATAAATGGCATGATCACATTAAACATCAACATTGATGCAGGTGAATAAAAATTGAATCAAGGTTGTCTCAACGTTGACCTCTGACCTTGCTAAATTATCAGACAAAAATAATGTAATACCAATTGAAAAATTGAAAAAAATATTGTGAAAGAAATTTTAGAAAGTGTTATGTGATTTACAGCATTAACCAACTTTGATATGATTGACAAATTTGATCTGATGTCATTGTGTTGTTTCTATAATAAAGGACCTAGATCTGATATACTGAGTAATTTTCAGTTGATGTGAATTGTCCCGCTGATTCCTTCACATGTGCATCAAACAAGAAACGTGGACGATATGCCTGCATCGACCGACGTTATGTATGCGATGGTGTCAAGAACTGTCTTAGCGGTGAAGATGAAACGGTAAACTGCGCAGAGGTCACATGTCAACAAGGCCAGTTTAAGTGTGCTAACGGAATCTGTATCGCCCAGAGGTTTTACTGCGATCATGATAATGATTGTGGTGATGACTCGGATGAACCAAAGACTTGTGGTAAGATCAGTCAGCACACGTTTTATACCAAACCATATCATTTATCAGCCCAGGTTAACTGTGATGAACATGACAATGTATCAAATAGCATTCTTAATATCGTTTTTACCAATTTATGATGCCTAAATCTTAAGCTCTCTGAATATTAGAAACAGATTTTCATTATACATTAGAGAATGATACATGTTATAGAAATTTAGGAAGGGAAGCTGATAGATTGGGACTTGCCAATGAAAAAATATCTCTGTACTTCTTGTGAGAGTGAACCTTTCACAGTGTTACTGACAACCAAAACTGCCAGTTTCAGTCACAACTGTTTTGTAGAAGAGACACAATAAGGATGCAATGTATTCACTGCCTTTATATAGTGATTTACCTTTTTTGTTAATATTTTGTGCTCATTTGTCGAGAAAAATGTCTGAAAAAAGGTTGTTATGCAAATGATCCTTATTCTGACTCCTTCATCCTTATTTGTCATGATAAGATATTTCACTCTGAGAGATTGCATCAATGTTTTAGCCTCAAAGATCTAGCTTGTTTGCTATACATATGCTCGCTTTGTTATATTGTGAGCTGAATTTTTTCACAGATTACCCAGAATGTGGTGCAGGAAAATTTACCTGTTCAGACAAGCGTTGTATCCCACTGTCATACTTGTGTGATGGTGCCAAGGACTGCTCCGATGGTTCCGACGAAAAAGCTGCACGCTGTGGTAGATATCGCCAAGCCTATACCTCAATATGTATAAAGATGTATAGATAGTGTCTTCCTTGTTTTGTAGTCTGGAAATTTAGGAAACTGGCTGGAAATATCAGAGGAGAAAGTACTCATAAGTGCTTTAATGATACAGTTTGGAAATTTACTTTCTAATTTTCTTTCTAATTAGGAATAAGAGTTGGTTTGACAGTTCATTTGTGAAATGCTGATTTTTTTTCTGTTTCATATATTTTTTTCTTGCCTAAATTTTTATATGTCTTCTTGGTATTGTTCTGAAAGCACTTCTATGTTTACATCACTATGGATATTTCATCTAATATTCATAAAAATTTTCTGGTCCATAAAGATTGAGGATACATTCACTGAGAATTTTGTTTAAAAATAGTATTTATAAGAGTTGAGGAAGGGGAACAACAACATCATTGTTTACAAAGCATTGTTTATGCATCTGAAATTATTTGTTTTACTTATCTCTCAATCTCTAGCTGTATATGTTTTGAATACTTGTTATCTGTCAGTGAATAGAAATGATGAGACAGGATAGTTTCTGAGTGTTTTGATGAGAACAATTGTATTCTATTTTTTTCATTACAATAAACCGGGTATATGTATTTCTGGTAACGTTTGGTTAGAGAGATTTCTCTTTATTTCGATAGGATTAGCATCTGTTTTAATGGTTAACATGGGTCCTTGGTTCAAATCCTGGAGGAGGCATTGAAATGAATAATGACCACTCTTACATAATTAACAAAAATATTTTGATTTCCAGCTGCAGCCACAGAGAAACCAGAGTGTCCTGACGGACAGTTTAAATGTGCCAATGATAACTGTATTGACTATCAGCTGGTCTGTAACAAGGTAGACAACTGTGGTGATGAGTCGGATGAGGACAGATGTTGTAAGTGTATTTACTGTTATACTGAGACGTTTCATGCTGTTGACCCCAGTAGATGGTAGTCGACACAGGTGAAATGTTTTTTTGAAAATATGATGAGCCAGAAAAGGACAGATATTAACCCCAGGTGAAGGTATTTGAAAGAGGTGAAATGTTTTGATAATAATAAATTATGATGAGTCTGAAAAGGACGGTTGTGTGCCCGTTTGCCAACACCAGCTAGATGAAAGAAAAAGGAAAAACAGTTATAGTCTGCTCTATAAAAGTGCCACCTGTTACCTGTACAGATAAATTTACCTGTATATAACATTTCTATATTTTCAAATTACTGTGACGGGTGAGAAATGGACAGTTTGTTAGATCAGAGAAGAAAGTAATTAGTAAAGAGAGTGAGGAGTGTGATGATATTGGTGTGAGGGTTGTTGGACAATGGTGTGTGGATGTAAGGTCCATTTCCTGTAATTGGTAGAAAGGTAAAATCTGGAACCTTAGAAAGGGAGTGGGCATCTGAAACAAGACTTCATTGAGATAGGCCCACCTCCTCAGTATAGAACTGACCAATAGAATCAGAGAATAGAACTGAAAGGAATGACATTTAGACTATCTATATATTAGATGACATAGATAAGATAAGGAGGGAGTTTAGAGAGAGAGTCCGGATACAGAGTCACGGAGAGCAAGTTGAGATTGGAAATACAGAGAGACCACATGTTAGAAAAGATTGTATAGAAGAACCAACAAAATAAAAGGATGTGGAACTGTCCATGGGAGAAGAGTTATTTATATTGATTCCCCAAAAACAAGAAGGATGTAGACCGCACGGTCACATTACTATGAAGTAAAAAGATGATATACATATGTATATAGAACTTTAGTTTCTTAAAATAAAAATAAAAAAAATTAATACAGTTAAAAAAAAGTATTTTTGATTTCCTCAAAATCTTATACATTCATAATATATACTTACATTTTAAATAAATATATATACAAGTTAATTAAGTAGCACTACCAATATTAATTAACATAAAAAATGACTAATATTGCGAATGATAAATACAAATAGCACTAATATCATTAATGTAATTGTATATAACAGGTACATTGTAGGTGTATTTACTGTAGTGTTATATCATTAAGATTTTAACAATTATGTAGTTATCTTCCCGGATTTTTTTATAGATACACTAAATGTCTTTACTATATATATTTTCTAACATTTTTCTGTCTTTGTCAATAATTCTATTTCTGGAGTATTTCTTGCTGAAGAGTTTCAAAGATTTGTTTACTTTTATCTATTGACATGACAGCATTTTACTTACCAAAAGTAGGTCACTGTTACCCGTATTTTGATCCTGACATGTGTATAAAGCTAAACTGAATAAGAAAAAGAAAGACATGTTTGAACAGGTACTTATCATTCAAAGTATACATTTAAGACAGAAAACAATATGAAGTGATATTGGGTATTAATAGAGCTATACCTATAACAACAACTACTTGCACTGGCCTAAGTACAACCTGAATACATGAAAATGGACCTCTCACTTTAGCTCATTATTTTATTAGTTACCTGGCCCAAAGGGCCAAGTGAGCTAGAGGGATATTGTGGCGTCCGGCGTCAATCTGTCGTCTGTCAACTTTACCTATAAATTATAACTAGTCTTCCCTTAGATAGAATTAATAAACTTCAGCAAATTAAACCAGGTGAGCAATACAGTACCTGTGGGCCTCTTTTTATTAATGACATTTATCATCATATGACATGTGATTTTGATGCGCAACTTTGACATAATTTGCTTTACATATGAATTAGATATTTAACCTTGACATGCCTGTTTCACTTTGCTATTAAATTTGATGTGTGACTTTGATGGTGTATAACTTGATTTTGAAGACATTGATGAGTGCAGTCAGGACGACATGAACCAGTGTGAGCAAAAATGTGTTGACTCCATCACCAGCTTTAAGTGTGACTGTTTCCCCGGCTACACACTCAGGAATGACAAGATCTCCTGTCGAGGTAATTAAAACACACAAGTTGGATCATTTTAATAACAACACTTTATATTATAGCTTTATATTGAGGCAAATTGATCAAGAGAGAAATAAACAACACATAACATATAAAAATGAAGGGGATTTTGTATAGTTTGATATGATACCCACCACTAATTAATAACCTACAGATGCATCTGTTTTATTCATTTCAGACATTGATGAATGTAAAGAGGTTCCAGGGGCCTGTAGCCAGGGATGTTTGAACTCGCCAGGAAACTATACCTGTAAATGTAATGAGGGATACTCCAAAACAGGAAACATGCGGTTCTGTAAGAAAAATGACAGTAAGTATGACACAGGGTTATATACGACGGAAAAAAGTAAACAGGTTTTTTTTCCTGTCTCATAATATCTGTTAGTCTCTTAATCCATCTATTTGTCCCTCTGTTTGTCTTTCTCTCATTGCATCAGTTTGTATCTCTGTTTGTTTTTCTGTCTCTATGTCCATATGTTTGTTCTTCTTTCTGTCTCTGTTTATCTGTTTGGTTTTAATTGTGTATGAATAGTAAGACTGATTAAAAAAACAAAATGCCAGATGTTGGCCATCTTAAAATTGGACAGACTGAAGTCTATGGAAAAGTGGTGGAAGGACCTTTCTCAGATATCATGTTTCCCATGCTTTCTTATTGTGCATGACAAAATTTAGAATTAATTGAAAAAACACAAAAAATTAGAGGAAAGAAGAGAAGAGATCTAGCTAAAGTGAACTTCGAAAGTAATGTCCTTCTATGGTATTCTTACCTTGTTCACTTGCTCAGTATAAAATATATAAAAAGTTGAGGAGGTTTAGAAAACTGGTTGACTTATTTGTTGTCAGATATTAAGCCTTGGCTGATCTTTACCAACAAATATTACATCCGGGAACTGTCAATTGATGGCCAGCACTACAGACGTGTCGCACAGGGCTTCGACAGTGTTGTTGGGCTTGACTTTGACTATGCAGAAGACTGTTTGTACTTCACTGATGTAAAAGCAAAGAAGATGTATCGAATGTACCTCAATGGAACTGGAAAAGAGGCTATCGTCAAACATGACATCTCTGGAGCAGAAGGAATGGCTGTCGACTGGATTGCAAAGTAAACTCACAATAAGACGGTTCAGTGTTTTGTGGTCTTCTCATTCAGATTGGGGGTCTAACTACTTTTAATATAATATCATGAGTTATGGCAGTTTACTTTGAACTGTGTGGATTTGGCTTTAATTGACAATTAAAGGGACATCAGATCAAACATATTTTTTGTAGAAATTGGATGGGCATATTGCTTACACCCCAAACTATGTCCTGCTGCTGTCTAAAAACTCATAGTGCATCTTGAATGTCCAGTTTGACCACTAAAATAATTCTCTGAATACAATGTCTGTAATATAAAGCTCATAACAAATTTCAAAACGGAGCATCTACATATGTTTGTGATGATGAAAGCACAGTGGACCTATGGTAATCCTGACACCGATCTGGTGTGAATGGAGAAAAGTCCTGTTGTATCGTTAGTTTATATTGTAGATTTCAAATCTGTCAGTAATTGTTTCATTTCATTCTCTGCAAATTCCAACAGCAATTGTCTGTAAAAGCAGGATATGGGAAATTTTTTTTTAAATCTTACGGCCCAGTGATGTCCCTTTAACAGTGATAATAGAGTGCAGATGATATCTTAATGAGTATATATAGAACATGTAATGACTATAAATAGAATATCTAATGACTGAAAATAGAATATGTAATGACTATAAATAGAATAGGTAATGACTGTAAATAGTATATCTAATGACTATGAATAGAATATCTAATGACTAAAAATAGAATATGTAATGACTATAAATAGAATATGTAATGACTATAAATTGTATATGTAATGACTGTAAATAGTATATCTAATGACTATAAATAGAATATCTAATGACTATGATTAGAATATCTAATGGCTATAAATAGAATATCTAAGGACTGTTTATAGAACATCTATTACATTAAGATCAATCAGAAGTTAAACAACAATAAATGTGTTTACCAACATGAGAGTTGATAAAATTTCAAATAACTACTTTTTTAACTTTCTTTTGTATGTGAGTCATGAGTGTTATACATCATTTGAAAAGTATTTTACTGTTTTAATTATAATTCTGACATATGTCAAATATCATGTTTGTCCACTTGTCATATTTTTATGATTTTTCTCCAAGGAAAATTTACTGGGTGGACAGTAAACGATCGTCCATGTTTGTCACAGAGACCAATGGTACCAATCGCCTGGCATTGATTCGCCGTGGCTTTGTCAAGAGTCCTCGTGCTATCGTAGTTGATCCAGCTAATGGGTAAGTTACCCTTCAAGTGCGGTTATGTATGTCTCAGATAGTCAGAGACCAAGAAGTATTTAAAGCATTGTCCCTATCTCTCATTGAAGAAATGCTAAAATTTTCAGAATATTTTCAAGATACTTCAATGAAATTTGTATAAAGAAATCTGTATCATCATAAATTTTAGCACTAACCTTGAAGATTAATGATGACCTTGAACTTTACGTTAGATTAGTGATGACCTTGAACTTTACTTTAGATCAGAAGTGACCTTGAACTATACCTTAGATCAGTAAGTGAAATCAAAATTGATGTCTATCCAGGAGAAGTGTTTAGTAATACTTACTTTCTCAGAATACTCAGGGTAACCAGTTTATTTAGACCTCCCCAATCATCCCCAGCTTTCTAGGAATACTCAGGGTAACCAGTTTATTTAGACTTCCCCAAACACCCCAAGCTTTCTAGGAATACTCAGGGTAACCAGTTTGTTTAGACTTCCCCAATCACCCCCTGCTTTCTAGGAATACTCAGGGTAACCAGTTTATTTAGACTTCCCCAATCACCCCCTGCTTTCTAGGAATACTCAGGGTAACCAGTTTATTTAGACTTCCCCAATCACCCCCAGCTTTCTAGGAATACTCAGGGTAACCAGTTTATTTAGACTTCCCCAAACACCCCAAGCTTTCTAGGAATACTCAGGGTAACCAGTTTGTTTAGACTTCCCCAATCACCCCCTGCTTTCTAGGAATACTCAGGGTAACCAGTTTATTTAGACTTCCCCAATCACCCCCTGCTTTCTAGGAATACTCAGGGTAACCAGTTTATTTAGACTTCTCCAATCACCCCCAGCTTTCTAGGAATACTCAGGGTAACCAGTTTATTTAGACTTTCCCAATCACCCCCAGCTTTCTAGGAATACTCAAGGTAACCAGTTTATTTAGACCTCCCCAATCATCCCCAGCTTTCTAGGAATACTCAGGGTAACCAGTTTATTTAGACTTCCCCAAACACCTCAAGCTTTCTAGGAATACTCAGAGTAACCAGTTTATTTAGACTTCCCCAATCACCCCCAGCTTTCTAGGAATACTCAAGGTAACCAGTTTATTTAGACTTCCCCAATCACCCCCAACTTTCTAGGAATACTCAGGGTAACCAGTTTATTTACAGGTTTTGTATATTCTTGAGTCATCTAGGTCATTTAGACTCTTTGTCAAGCTGCATCAATAAATACTATATAGCAATGTCATGTGACCTTTTTGTTGCCTTAGTTACGCATACTGGACAGACTGGAGCCTGTCGCCATATATTGGCTGTATTGGGATGGACGGGTCAAACCCCAAAAAAGTGATCACGAACAAGTTGGGCTGGCCAAATGCTCTCACAATCGATTATGAAACATCTCACCTGTGGTGGGGCGACGCCCATCTGGACTATATTGAGTAAGTATAGTAGTCATTTCGATATGATACTCAAGGGGAACTAACTGCATCTAATCAGTTCACTTCAGACTTACCTGAGAAAGGAGATCTTACAGTTTCCTTGATACAAAACACAGATTCTGTTTTTCAAGTTGATAATACTTGAGTTTTAACCATGAAGTGTTCTAATGGTTGCTGACCTGTAATGGTGTTGTTGAAGGTATGCCAGAGTGGACGGCACTGACCGTAACATTGTCATGCAGGCCACTGTGCCACACCCTTTTGCCATCACTGTGTTTGAGGACTGGATGTATTGGACTGACTGGAACCACATGAGTATTGAAAAAGCCAACAAGTTCACGGGAGCGAACCATACCTGGTTACAGAATACGACACACCGCCCAATGGATATGCACATCTACCATCCACTGCGGCAAAAGGAAGGTAGGATTATCTCCCTTTGATTCTATTAAGGATGCACTCAGTCAGACAAAATCATGCACTAACTTCAAAGGAAGGTAGGGCTATCTCCTTTGAGTGTAGTAAGTTTGCACTCCATTGGAGGGCAGGGATATCTTCCTTTGATTCTAACAAGCATGCACTCGGATCAGTCAGAAGGAAGTAAGTGTTTTCTTACTTGGAGCATACACTTAATTTGAGCAAAGGTAAAATGACCTTATATTGGATATACATTTACACAAGAAATGTTATCTCTCCTAGATTGTATACTGTAAACAAACCTGGTTTAAGAACAAAGTTTTTAAGGGATACTCTGCCCACATTAGGATTTCATAGATGCTTTTTAAGAAAATTGTACAAAAGTATCTAATTTTATCCTTATGAAAATTGCATGACTTGATTTCCCCAAAATATCAACTTTTGCTATTTATTTGAGGAAATTCCATTTAGATCTATCTATCTGTCTCACGGGGACATGTTTGTAGCCACACATATCATTCTTACAGAAATATCTGTTAGTGTCATTTCAATGTAGTTTGTGTTATCATTGACAAATATGACGGGAACAACGTCTTTTACCATCTCACTGCTGCTTACATCCGACATTGAGGATTTGTCTTGCAGCCTCGCTTTTCTAACTGATCATGTGATAAGCTTGCTGTATTAACACATTCTAATTTTACTGGTCAGGAGATGTTTCCACAATTTTGCTTGTCCGACGTGACCACAGGAAGGACATGATAACTTTAGATAGTCATAAGAGATACATTTAAAACAAATTGAGCAACAAAAAATCTGTCCAACTTGGGTGGAATGTCCTTTCAATAAAGCTGGAATTATTTGGGCAAAAATATTATTAAGTTGCCTCTGTATGTTATTTATACATAGCAATTAATAGCATGAATTCCTCAAAATATGCCAAAGTTTAGTCAAAAAGTGATAAAAGACTAAAATTGGATTATGCTAAATTAAGTATGGTAACAGTATTAGCTAAATTAGACAAAGAAAGATAAGGTTCTTTTTCATTTGTTGCATCAGTTATGAAAGCATTTTGTCTTACATCTATAACAAATGCAGTGTGGTAGAAAAAGGCTGTTATAGGGTTATCTGCCCTTGTTTGAATTACACATATGAAATACTTCTTCCTGTTTTTCATGAACTGTTGTACACAGAAAATCACTCCTTGTAGGGGGACTTGTCTTAGGTTATATGGTTATCTGCCCTTGTTTGAATTACACATATGAAATACTTCTTCCTGTTTTTCATGAACTGTTGTACACAGAAAATCACTCCTTGTAGCGGGACTTGTCTTAGGTTATATGGTTATCTGCCCTTGTTTGAATTACACGTATGAAATACTACTTCCTGTATATCATGACCTGTTGTACAAAGAAAATCACTCCTTGTAGCGGGACTTGTCTTAGGTTATATGGTTATCTGCCCTTGTTTGAATTACACATATGAAATACTTCTTCCTGTTTTTCATGAACTGTTGTACACAGAAAATCACTCCTTGTAGGGGGACTTGTCTTAGGTTATATGGTTATCTGCCCTTGTTTGAATTACACATATGAAATACTACTTCCTGTATATCATGAACTGTTGTACACAGAAAATCACTCCTTGTAGGGGGACTTGTCTTAGGTTATATGGTTATCTGCCCTTGTTTGAATTACACATATGAAATACTACTTCCTGTATATCATGAACTGTTGTACACAGAAAATCACTCCTTGTAGCGGGACTTGTCTTAGGTTATATGGTTATCTGCCCTTGTTTGAATTACACATATGAAATGCTACTTCCTGTATATCATGAACTGTTGTACACAGAAAATCACTCCTTGTAGGGGGACTTGTCTTATGTTGACTTCTGTAGGGAAGGTAGGATGTCTTCTATATAGAGGGCTTGGATGTTCCATGGAATCTGGTGAAGAGCAAAGGTGTTCTAATATGATTGATCTTTTATCAGCCTCCTTTCGTTAACCATGTAGGACTATAGTTTTATGTGGTAACCACCCATTCTTACTGGCTTTCTGTCTGTGTGGGTTTTCCTCCTGCTATTTTGTCGGTGGTGTTCTATTACTTACACTACTGGTCACGTGTGAACTTCATCCTTAGTGTGGGTTCAAAGAAAAGTTTGGGCTCTCCTTCATTACCTGTTGAAGGAAATTCTTCATTGGGTCATGGGTTCATTCACAATATATAATTTTACTTTTGACGGGGAACTGTCTCTGAATAGTTTACTTGTCCTTTTTCTTTCAGGCCCAAATCCATGTGGAACAAACAATGGAGGCTGTTCCCATCTCTGTCTCATTGCTCCTGGAGGACGTGAATTTTCCTGCAAATGTCCCGACAACTTCATGATGGCCCCAGATCAGCATACCTGTATTGCTAACTGTACAAGTGGCCAATTCCGGTGTGGAATTTCTGACGATCGCTGTATCCCTTCTCTATGGAAATGTGATGGCGAGGAAGACTGTAAGGATGGATCAGACGAACCAGAGGATTGCCGTAAGTCTGTCCTGTCACTGATAAGTCTGTCATGTCACTGTCGTAAGTCTGAAAAAGATGGAGTTTATTTTTATATATCGTATTACTAAAAAAGATGCTTACTTTTTATTGTGTCGCCTGCAGTGCTAGTGAACACTTCGGGATCACTTTGTCCATCGTCACACGTCGGCGGCGTCGTCGTCCGTAAGAAAGCTTTTCGGACTTTTTTCAGTAATGTTTTGAGTTATCAAAATGAAATTTGGCATATGGCTTTTTGTTGCAAGGGTACAGATAAAGTTCGATTCCCGGCTGTCGGTGACCCTTTTTGGCAGAGTTATGCCCCTTTCAACTTTGAAAATTTCCTGGGAATATTGTTTTCCGGACTTTTTAGCCCACCATCATCAGATGGTGGGGTATTTAAATCGCCCTGCGTCCATGGTCTGTCCGTCCGCAAAAAATTCTTGTTACCGCTATTTCTGGGAAAGTACTGGATGGATCTTTCTCAAATTTCATATGCAGTTTCCCCTTGGTCCCTAGTTGTGCATTGTACCTTTTTTGAACTGATTCGAATTCAAGATGGCTGACAGACGGCCATCTTGGATTTTGGAAGTAAAAGTTTGTTATCGCTATTTCTTGGTAAGAACTGGATGGATCTTTCTCAAATTTCATCTGCAGGTTCCCCTTGGTCCCTAGTTGTGCATTGTACCTTTTTGGACTGATCTGACAGCCATCTTGGATTTTGAGAGTAAAATCTTGTTACCGCTATTTCTGAGAAAGTACTGGATGGATACTTCTGATATTTCATAGGTATTGGTTTACCTTGGTCCCTTGTTGTGCATTGTACTTTTTTTTTTTACTTATTTGAAATCAAGGTGGCCCACAGGCAGCCATCTTGGATGTCGACAGTAAAACAGCACAAGCATATTTACTTAGATATTCTATCATATTGATTCAAGACCATGTCCATTATCCACCTGTAACTGACTGCTATCTAATAATACTTTGGGATCTTTTTCAAATGATATTTGCTAATAGGTGCTTAATAAAAATATCTTGTGCCATCATTGAGTACATTCAATGAAGACCAGTTCATGAACATTTACAAAACCTGTAACAAACAAAAAAAAATAAACAAATCTTCAAGAACTGAAAACAGATCCTCAAATGGTGGGCGCCAAGATCCCTCTGGGATCTCTTGTTGGCTTATGCTTTGAGTTATCGAAATGAAATTTGGTATTACAACTTTATGGTTGATCATTGCACATCCAGTTCAATTTCTAGGTGACCGTGACACATACAGTTCTGAGGAACTCTTGTAATTTTGTAGAATTTACACGGCGATATGTGTATATATATACGGTGTATTTAGGTCAAATTGTTTTACTTATACTGTATTTTACCGCAAATAAGCCCCCACACCCAGTTCAAAAAAGACTGTCAAAAGAGGGGAGGGGGCTTATTTGCGGGCAACCCCCCTGTTCACGAGATGTACGTGTGTCCGCCATCTTGGATTTTTCATCATAAGGAACGATAACTTGGCCTATTTGTCATCAAAAATAACCCAAAGACGAAAATAGGATCAATAATTTTTAACAATATAACAAAATATACTAAATAGCTAATCCTCCAGCCCGAATCCTCCGAATAGGAGAGTCTCGTCATCGGACTCGTCTGAATCAAATCAGATGCTGTGGGCCCGTGTCACATCAAGTTCCTGCTGTAGGAACTCATCAATCTCGCGGACGTCCATGCTGACATCCTCACGAAGACGGCGCGACATCCTAGACAGTTACAGGCCACACACCTTCCCAGAATACGACGCACATCATCCGTGTTTGGTCCCCACACACGCGTCACCCTTGCGACTTCTCTCCTCTTGGACTGCAGTTGATAACCAGAGATGGCTCGACCCTCAGCGTGTTCCTCGACGAACCAGTCAAACACGGCGTCGTCAATCTTAATGGACCTGGGCGCTGGGTTGGTACCAAGCTTCTTCTTCTTGGAGTTTGTTCCTTTTCCATGGGCAAGGAGTTTCTCGAAGTCTCTGTCCCACTGTCTGACGAGTTTCCTGTCGACGGAGAATTCTCGTGTTGTCTGATGGAGATTTCGGCCATTGTACCGGAACCAGTTGACGATGTCCAACTTCTCCTTTACTGTGTAACGTCTTCATGTAGCAGGCATGATGATTTTGTGTCTTGGTTGGATTTTTACTCTCTATTTAACGACACTAATATGGCTTGGGACTCAACGTGTCAAAATCTTCTCAACACGTCAAAGCGACACTGTTGTTTTAGCGTGTTTTGAGCGAGGTCCTCTCGCTCAGTTGCTGTGATTGTTAGCTAATTATCACCAGTTAAAATAACAAAAAAGTGGTCACCTGTGAACACTACAAGAACAAACCCTTCATAATTACACCTGGCAATTAAATGTAAGTACTGCTTTATCGTCACACGTGTTGTTTTTTTTTTTTTTTTTGAAAAAAAGTTGGGGGGCTTAATTGCAAATACCCCCTATTCCTGGCAAATTGGGGGGGGGGGGCTTATTTGCGTTGAAATACGGTAACATAACTCATAAACAGGAAACAGAAATATTTGACTTGGAAAAGAGCACCTGTTTTTAAAAAATGTGAAAGGAGCATGTCACCAAGGAAAAGATCTACAGTTTTTTAAAATTTGGGACAAGTGATGAAAAGAAATCTGCATGCCCTTTTAAAACTTCTAATGTATGAAGTAATGAATTAAGATGCCTTAATATGGAATCAGTCATAGAATCCTGACTAAAAACACAATTCTACACTTAATGGGTTTAAAACAAGAATCTCTACATTTTGTTAAAATAATTTCCACAAACAAATGAACATCTATTTTGGAATTTTGATAAACTTTTTGACATTTTAAGAAAAGCTGGCTTTATCTTCAGACAGTTCTAGAGATGCTGACTTGTTAATAGATGATCTTGTCTTATCATTGTTGAAACAATACATCTTTGAAATGAGATGTATGGTAAAGGAGTTTAATTTAATAAGCCCAAGAAAAATAACTTACTCTACAAATTGAGTACATTGTTTAAGAAAGGCCTGTAAACAAAAGACAGAATTACAAGTTAAAGCGGGAAAATGATGTGTCATATGACAGGAATAATTACTAGATTTAGTATAATATCTAGAAACAACCAGTCTGAGGTTTGCAGCCCAACCCCCTCCTCTTCTCCCATATACGTGGTATGTGAGTGTGTGTATATCCATACATACTGTACAATCAATGTCTCAACAGAAGTTCTTTCTGTATATGCAATATATGGTGACTAGTCTTTACCAGGGTTACACAATACACCAATATTACAGGAAGTTCTTTGATTTCAGCTCCAAAGCACTGCGCCCCTGGACAGTTTGAATGTCGGAATAAGAATTGTACATATGGTTTCCGCGTTTGTGACCTAGTCGACGACTGTGGCGACAATTCTGATGAGGAAGCATGTGATGAACGGCGCTGTGAGGCTTGGCAGTTCAAATGTGGCACCAATAAATGTATTCCACGAGGATGGCGATGTGATGGATCGGATGACTGTGGCGACAACTCAGATGAAAATGATAATCAGTGTAGTAGGTGTCATGAAAAGTTTGTTGACTCTACACCATGTTTCGTAGAACCATTGTAGTGATCTGTTTACCTACGTTACACATTGATACTCTTCATTCTGTCTGTTAGATATTGTCCTCAAAGTTGTCAGCAGTTTATACTTCATTTCAATAAAATATATATGCTACCTTAAAGTTTTTATTTAGTTATCAATTGTTTGTAGATTTGTTATTTCGTAATAGTGTTCTATATTTAGAAATGTTATTTCTCTCCTAGAGAATGTGACCTGTGGATCCCACCAGTTTACTTGTGATAATGGCAAGTGTATCCCCAGTACATGGAAGTGTGACTATGATGATGACTGTGGGGACCGGTCCGATGAGAAACAGGAGTGGAACTGTAGTAGGTCATTTTAGTAAGATTAAACTTGACTAAATAATGATGAACTGAATTTCATTGAAATTGTTCTACAATTAGTCAACTGTCATCAGGTCAACGTCAAAGTTCAGTCACAGGTCAATGATTAAGGTCAGAGTTCAGATTACATTAATCCTAACAGTGAAAAAATACACATAGAGTGCTGCTAACATTGTATTTGTTCTTACCAAGCAACTCGGCAGTGTCAGAAAGGTTGGTGGAGATGTAAGACAAACTACCGCTGTATCCCCGACTGGCAACGATGTGATGGGCGTGATGATTGCCGTGATAACAGTGATGAAGATAAGGATAATTGCCCGAAATGTCATCCAACAGGAGATTGGCAGTGTGCCAATAAGCGCTGTATTCCCAAACGCTGGCTTTGCGACTTTGACAATGACTGCGATGACAAAAGTGATGAGGATCCTCTCATGTGTGGTATGTAACTCTCCTTTATTGGAGGTGTTACTGATTAGTAAGTAAAGTGTAATATGTAACTCTCCTGTGATGGAGGTAGTCACTGTAGTGATGTAAGTAATTGTAGTATGTTACTCTACAGTGTCGGAGGCAGCTTATATGAAAGCAGAGTTTGGTATTGAACTCTTTTGTAAGAGAGGATTCATAATTTTGTTGGTAAATGTCCCCTTGGTGGGAGTTAAAATATAGAAACATTTTTAGATGAGAGAAATTGGATCATCATATGATATTGTATCCAATCACATTACAGCAAAGAAGTATCGGAAGTGTTCAGAGTCCGAGTTCCTGTGTAAGAACAAGAAGTGTATCCCCAGTAAGATGAGATGTGATAATGACAATGACTGTGGTGATAATTCTGATGAAGATCCACACTACTGTAAAGGTAAATCCCATATTTCACTAAGCAGAGTTACCTCCCTTATTTTTTCTTTAAACACATGTCCTTGTAATGTTTCATATGCAACAAAATTAGCACCTTGTTTTATATTTCAGTGCCTGACAGTATTTGCTTTAATCAAGTTACTTTTTAGTCCCCTGCCGGTGAAACCGGAGGGGACTAAAGTGTTTGTCTCTGTCTGTCCGTCTGTCTGTCCGTCCGTCAGTCTGTCTGTCGGGATGTTGGTTTCCAGACAATAACTTGAGAACAGATTGATGGATTTGGATCAAACTTCACACAATGGTAGTTTATAAGGCAATAAAGTGTGGCTTTTGTTTGGGGTCAAAAGGTCAACTACAAAGGTCACTTTTACTAAAAATAGAAATTGTCACATTTTAGTTTCTGGACAATAACTTGAGAATGGATTTGGATGAAACTTCATACAATGGTAGTTTATAAGGCAATATAGTGTGGGATTTTGTTTGGGGTCAAAAGATCAACTAAAGGTCACTGTTACTAAAAATAGAATCTTGTCACAATTTAGTTATCAGACAATAATTTGAGAACGGATTAATGGATTTGGTTGAAACTTGATACACTGGAAGCTTGTAAATAATAAAACAAGATACTTCTGATACAGAACAAGTTCTACATTACTTGAAAAAATAATGTATTTATACTTCAATTAGATCATGGGGCCAACATATAAACTCGGATCCATAGTAAAGGGTTAGCTTATTACAAACAGTTAAGTACCATTCGCTCCCATTTGCTTTACAACAGAACATTGGTGGGCTTATTAGCAGACATGGCCTTATTTGCTGATAAATACAGTAATTTACGGCAGGGGATTTGTGTTACATGCAACACTAACTGTAAGCTTGTTCTTTTTTGTTTTTAAACTCGCAGTATTCACTTTAAATGTGATGAACTCTCCTTGATATGACTTCAACATTCCTTACAGGGTTTGCCTTAACCAGGATTATCTCCTCTTTTTATCTTACAGAGTACCATAAATGCCAAACTGACCAGGTTCAATGTCCAAGTGGTCATTGTATCAGCAACAAATCCATGTGTGATGGTCAGCGTGATTGTAAGGATGCTTGGGATGAGCAAGCTTGTCCACCACGTTACCCTGGCAACCGGTTCTGTCCCACCAATCAGTTTCAGTGTGATAACACGGTACGATAAACATATGTATATAAATCATCAACCTAATTCATAATGAATACCTCAAGGTCAAGGCCAACATTTCTATCTATAGAAAATTATCGATCAATGTGTTTGTAAGAGATTTTGATCTAATCATATTTAGGAGTATATTTTCAAAAATTTGTTTCAGGGTTCCAAGGTTATTGTCGTTATTACTATTTATAGAATTTTTATCAAACAGTATGGTAATTAATTGCAAGTACAAAATTGTAAGCAGGGACATTCATATCTTATTGACATTTTCTGGTTCTTTTGAGAACTTCTTCTTAAGAACAAGAACATGTTAAGTCATAAACTTAAGCCAATATGTAGCTGGCATATTGTCCTTCATAGTTACAAAATGGAATTGACCATGGTCCAATATTTAACATCTAATGTAGAAATCTCAAACGTTTGTACAATTAGATTAGCAGCTTTTGATGAAGATCTGTCAGTTACAGGGAAGTGATATTTAGTCTGGATCTTACAGTTTTAAAGTTGTTTTAGGTATATTTAACCCTGACCTACTACCTCTACTGTAAAGAGTGATAAGCGACAGATATTAGGTGAGACCTATTCAGGCTTTTTATTCAGAATTCTACTGTGAAAAAGATTTAACAGGAGTGACTTTTCGCAGAATCGTCTTGATTTTTTGCTTACATGACATTGATGATGGTAAATTATCAGATCTGTATTCCTCGTCGATGGCGTTGTGATGGAAACGATGACTGCGGAGATGGATCTGACGAACGCCCAGAGATTTGTCAGCTGATAGACTGCCCCCCAGAGACACGATTCCGCTGTAATAACTTCAAATGTATCCCTCGCTGGAGACTGTGTGACAAAGTGGACAACTGCGGTGACGGCTCTGACGAGAACAACCTTGATCTCTGTAAGATTAAGTACCTAGTGACAGTGGTGATGAATAAAATAAATTTTTATTTCAATAATTCATTGGTGTTCCTTTTCATAACAGGTTCTGTCCTTTAGAAATGAAGATCTGTTCTTCCAGATATCCTAATCTCCTGTGTACATGTATTTATAGGTACACCTCGACCGGTCAAATGCTCCACTGACCAGTATAGATGTGCCAATCGTCAGTGTGTGGATGCTGTCAATGTCTGTAATGCTGTTATGGACTGTGAAGATGCCTCTGATGAACGTGGCTGTCGTAAGTATTTTAGAGTCTCTCAAAAACTTGTCTACCATGATCATGCATTCAAATTTATGTATTCATGTGATGTAACATGGCGTTTGATTGGTCAGTTAAAGTAATTTACCTTGAATATTTGTCCCCTGTATATAAGTACCTTAGCTCACAGCTGGCCCATTCCATCAGTCCTAGAACACCCATTTCATTGATAAGATTATGATAGCAATAGATCCTGCAATGTTTTGGTGTCATCCATTTCATGTTTTGGCTCTTCCCATCACTGAGTTTACTCCATCGTATAAGATGAGGTTTTTCACTCAGCATTACCAGATACCTCATTCATATTTCCTAAAGTCTTGTATTTACTTTAGATTAAATTAAAAAAAAGGTGTAACATTCCAGAGTTGCTATCATTAATACATATATACATTAATGTTGTACATTCAGAAAACACTTTCTGTTGAAATGAATGCACATTATACTTATGTAATAGGATGAGTCAAGGTTTTACACAATCACACACATATTCTGAAATCAGTGCATGGCCTGATGTTGTCAGCCCAGGTTTGGTAGGTTACAACAAATGAAAACTGTCAGAAATGATAATTGACTCAATATAAACAATTACACAATCTGTTGACTTGAGCACATTTCTTCTTTTGTCAATACATGTCATATCTTTTAAAGATAAGTTGTCAGGAAATGTGAACTGCTCCGTACACAATGGCGGCTGTTCCCAGACATGTACTGACCTGAGTGATGGAGGCTATTACTGTTCCTGTCAAGAAGGATACAAAATTGCCGTCAATGACCGTAAATCTTGTGAAGGTAAAATCAACAAAATCAAGTTATATTATCAGCAATTTATTTTAGTTATTTTAGGAATTCAGTTATAATATAAGGCACTTATCTGTAATTACAATACAAGGTATTCATCTGTAATTATAGTAACAGGAATTTATCTGTAATTACAATACAAGGTATTCATCTGTAATTATAGTAACAGGAATTTATCTGTAATTACAATACAAGGTATTCATCTGTAATTATAGTAACAGGAATTTATCTGTAATTACAATACAAGGTATTCACCTGTAATTATAGTAACAGGAATTTATCTGTAGTTACAATACAAGGTATTCATCTGTAATTATAGTAACAGGAATTTATCTGTACTTACAATACAAAGTATTCACCTGTAATTATAGTAACAGGAATTTAACTGTAGTTACAATACAAGGTATTCATCTGTAATTATAGTAACAGGAATTTATCTGTAATTACAATACAAGGTATTCACCTGTAATTATAGTAACAGGAATTTATCTGTAGTTAAAATACAAGGTATTCACCTGTAATTATAGTAACAGGAATTTATCTGTAGTTACAATACAAGGTATTCATCTGTAATTATAGTAACAGGAATTTTTCGTAACTGGACATTGAAAGTCAACTGTGAATATCAGGATAGCACAGAAACATAACTGGAAGGTTACAAAAAATGCACAATCAATATAAGAATATTGTTTTTACTGAGATGTTCCTGATATCACTTATTTTGTTTATAGTATATCTATATGATGAAATGACTTCTCATTTTCGCAGATGTTGACGAGTGTGCACGCTGGGGAACTTTTTGTGCACAGCAATGTAAAAATGTGAAAGGATCATACAAATGTCTGTGTACTGACGGCTTCCATGATGTCAAGGGCAAAGGCACACACTGTAAACCTAAAGGTCAGTTGTCCATCCTTGTGATATCATAACTTTCTGGCATCATATTCTTTGTGACATCAACAAAGACGGACAGATATAAATTAAGAATATCACAAATTCAGATTTTGTATCAGTACAGATTTTTTTTCATGTATGTTTGCAAAAGTATCTTAAGTTATGCGATAAACAGAATCTTACATTCATTTCCATTTAATTTGAGATTTTATGAAACTCATAAAAATTTTTCCATTTTTTACCTTACCAAAGACCTAGTTAAATAAACATTTCTCAGACTCTGTTATAAAACAATCTCAAACTTGTGTAAACTCCCCTATGTAATTTTACTCATTATGTTTATTTCAGGTGGACAGATGCTGATATTTTTTACCAGTGGTCATGAGGTACGCCATATTATCCCTGACAAAAAAGCCTACTCAGGAACACTGAGTTGGGGGCGCCACATGGGGGCATTAGATGTTGATGCTGACCGTCGCCTCCTATATTTCTCTGATTTATCATTGATGAAGATTGAACGCGCAGGAATTCCTGACGATATAAAGAATGGTGGTCCACCGCGCCCACAAGATTTAAATGCAGATGTGACTCAAGTTGAGGGCATTGCTATTGACTGGGTCACAAAGTAGGTCAATATTATACTCATGTTCACTCTGCTTCAACTGGAAATGTTGTGAAATGATAATGGCTTTTCTGTGATAGTGAAATTAATTCTTTATTGTTCCTTACAATTTTATGTGGATAGGGATGAGAAAAAAATAAAAAAAGTCTGTCTGTCATGTCTGGCTACATTGTGTCATGTTCTGATACAATATCACATCTATAGAACCTCACAACTTTGTTTCATGTGAACCTCATATTATCATAACATCAACTTTTACTAATATTGGCGAGGTCATCTGTTAAGGTTAAGAGGTCAAAGGTGACATTTGACAATTTCTGTCTGGTAGTGGGGATATCAATCTCTTATGGATGTCTTCTAGTCTCTCCATTCTTTCAAGTTGTAAAATTGATGTTTTTTACTCCTTAAATCTTCCTTCCTTAAATAACTGGATGTAAAAACTTCATTAAGGAAAAAAGAACTTTTTCTCTTCAGGAATATTTATTGGACAGATTCAAGTCGCAGGACAATATCAGTTGCCCTTGACGATGGCCGATACCAGAAAACTTTGATCAGTGATGATTTGTATCACCCACTGGCCATCATTGTAAACCCGAAACTTGGGTGAGTATTTCTTTCATAACCCTTCATTGAAAAGCTCAAGATATGGAGTCATATTTCATTATAGCGTGGCGTTATCTTTTCTTTCTACTATCAACCCTTATGTAGGGTATTTCTTTTGTTGTTTCTTTGTCAATCATAAAGACTGGGGTTATCTCCCTTTCTACTTTAAAGCCTTAAAGTGTACCCTGAGAGGTCAGCTATGTTGACCTTGAAAAATAGTTCTGCACATAAAATACACTATGCCGAAAACGCGAATGTCGTGAAATGTTCCGTTACTGAGAAAGTGCGACTTTTCTGAAAAACACACCTTTGGCTGAGTGGCGTTGACCTCGTTTTCGGGCACCCAAACCTGTGACGTCATAAGTTCAACGCTTTTGTTGATGCAGCCATATTGTCTTGTGGGGAAGCGGTGTGTATGGTTGTCCTAACACTAACACGGATGGGGTGTCAATGCATGACGTCGATAAATAAAACTGATTGTTGATTAAATAAAAGTATATTTGTTAGGTTGATATTTTGTTATTAATTCTACAACTAAACATTTTAAATTGATAGGCTAGCCTATGACTTGGGCGGTCATAGGAATATTATTCCTTCGTAATCGTGAACGCCTAATACTCGGAGAAGGCCTAGTCGTGAATGGGTCACGGGAATTTTCACCCCGAGAATTTTCATACTACTATTATATAATATAGAATAGAATTATTAGAATTTATAGAATAGGTTATGTGTGTATGTTGTTTGTATAAGGTGTATTTGGTTTTTAGATCTTCCAGCAGACGATGTTGTTTAGTTATTAATTTTGCGATCGTAGAAATAACAATAAGATCAACAATCTTGATTTGAAAACACAGTTCACAGTGTAGAGATGTCATCTAAACTCATAATCACACCTGTGCCAGGTTAGGTAATTAGCACCTCTGTGGCTGGAAAAACAATTGTGACACCTGTGAGGCGACATGCCTGTCGGCTAACAACAGACGCGTACCAGTGCTAGGGTAAAAACTAGTCAAATAATTGTTTAAACTTCTAAAACATCAAATTTTTATTATTAACACAGCGGAGGGTGTTATAATTGGTTGTTGACACCCTATCTATATATATCCATAGTGCTACGAAAATTCCCTGGAAAGAAAAATTCCCCTCGGACGAAACTTCTTTGGTAAAAAAATTCCCCGACACCTCGTGAATGTATGCATAGTCTTGCACAAACGTGATTTCCCGACGTCAGAAATTGTTGATCGAGACTTGAAGATAGTAAAATTAGTCCAAAACCACACCCACTTTTATTTTGTTTCTTTGAAACGACGATTCACTGTTCGACTACTTTCACGACTACTGGTGAGACCCAGTGAAGTACGTGCCAATCTATGTTTCCCAAGCGATCGTCACTTTTCGAAGGGTCATTTTCCTCCTCACTGGATACATCGTCTTGTAATTCCAGTTCAAATCGGTAGGGCTGGATTCCGTCTTCAGACATATCATTCACACCATAATCAGACTCCTCAAAACTCATGCTCAAATCGCTCTCAGTTGCGGTGTCGTTGTCACTGTCAGTCATGTTGACTGCCATTTCTGTTGAACTTATGACGTCACGAGTAGAAGAGCCTCGATTCCGCGGAAATGACGATTCGGCTGATTAGGTCTGGGCGGACAGGTGAAAATTGACAACTTTGAGCTTTAATAACTCGACACTGGGGCGACGGATTTTGACGGGGTTTTCGTTATTATTATTTTTACAGCATTCTTAACATTAAATCTAAATATAAAATTACTCTCAGGGTACACTTTAACTTGGGTATTTCTTTTGCCATGTTTCATAGTCAGCCCTTAAGTGTTGGGTTATCTCCCTATGTGCCATCAACCCTAAATTAGGGTAAGTATTTCTTTCATTATATTTCATTGTCAGCCTTTGATTAAGGAGTTATGTGTTTACTGTCAGATTGCTGTACTGGACGGATGCAGGCAGCACAAGACCAAAGATAGAGCAGGCTTGGATGAACGGTGAAAAACGGTCAGTCTTGGTCTCCACACGACTTGGCCGAGCCACAGGACTGACCCTAGATGACCACATGGATGACCGACTTTACTGGTGTGACTCCAAGGAAAACTTGATAGAATCCATCAAGTTAGATGGGTCAGACAGGGTCATTGTTGTTGGGAAAGGTGAGAGGTCAAAGGCCATAATCAATTACTTGAATTATGGTCATGCATTTGTTGGGTTATTGAAAACATTCTCTTTTCATTATCTTGTCAAGGTCAACAGACCAAATTGTTTGTATATTCCTTCCAACTTATATGGAACTGTATATTTTCAGATCCAGATAACCCTGTCAGTTTACACGTCCTAGTGTTTTGTCTGTACTATATAATATTTCAGGTTTAGATAACCCTGTCAGTTTACACGTCCCAGAGTTTTAACTGTTCTATATAATATTTCAGGTCTAGATAACCCTGTCAGTTTACACGTCCCAGAGTTTTGTCTGTACTATATAATATTTCATGTTTAGATAACCCTGTCAGTTTACACGTCCTAGAGTTTTGACTGTACTATATAATATTTCAGGTCTAGATAACCCTGTCAGTTTACACGTCCTAGAGTTTTGTCTGTACTATATAATATTTCATGTTTAGATAACCCTGTCAGTTTACACGTCCTAGAGTTTTGACTGTACTATATAATATTTCAGGTCTAGATAACCCTGTCAGTTTACACGTCCTAGAGTTTTGACTGTACTATATAATATTTCAGGTTTAGATAACCCTGTCAGTTTACACGTCCTAGAGTTTTGACTGTACTATATAATATTTCAGGTTTAGATAACCCTGTCAGTTTACACGTCCTAGAGTTTTGTCTGTACTATATAAAATTTCAGGTTTAGATAACCCTGTCAGTTTACACGTCCCAGAGTTTTGACTGTACTATATAAAATTTCAGGTTTAGATAACCCTGTCAGTTTACACGTCCCAGAGTTTTGACTGTACTATATAATATTTCAGGTTTAGATAACCCTGTCAGTTTACACGTCCCAGAGTTTTGACTGTACTATATAATATTTCAGGTTTAGATAACCCTGTCAGTTTACACGTCCCAGAGTTTTGACTGTTCTATATAATATTTCAGGTCTAGATAACCCTGTCAGTTTACACGTCCCAGAGTTTCGACTGTTCTATATAATATTTCAGGTTTAGATAACCCTGTCAGTTTACACGTCCCAGAGTTTTAACTGTTCTATATAATATTTCAGGTCTAGATAACCCTGTCAGTTTACACGTCCCAGAGTTTTAACTGTTCTATATAATATTTCAGGTCTAGATAACCCTGTCAGTTTACACGTCCCAGAGTTTTAACTGTTCTATATAATATTTCAGGTCTAGATAACCCTGTCAGTTTACACGTCCTAGAGTTTTTACTGTTCTATATAATATTTCAGGTCTAGATAACCCTGTCAGTTTACACGTCCTAGAGTTTTTACTGTTCTATATAATATTTCAGGTCTAGATAACCCTGTCAGTTTACACGTCCCAGAGTTTTAACTGTTCTATATAATATTTCAGGTCTAGATAACCCTGTCAGTTTACACGTCCCAGAGTTTTAACTGTTCTATATAATATTTCAGGTCTAGATAACCCTGTCAGTTTACACGTCCCAGAGTTTTAACTGTTCTATATAATATTTCAGGTCTAGATAACCCTGTCAGTTTACACGTCCTAGAGTTTTTACTGTTCTATATAATATTTCAGGTCTAGATAACCCTGTCAGTTTACACGTCCTAGAGTTTTTACTGTTCTATATAATATTTCAGGTCTAGATAACCCTGTCAGTTTACACGTCCCAGAGTTTTAACTGTTCTATATAATATTTCAGGTCTAGATAACCCTGTCAGTTTAGATGTGTTTGGAGACTCACTTTACTGGGCATCTCAACAAATGGGGGCTGTCATGAAGATGGATAAATTTGGACGCGGCGTCAACATTACATTACAGACAGGACTACTGCTGCCCTCTAGTGTGCGAATCATGCATCCGAAACGTCACAATTTATCAGGTAAATCTTGCTTCTTACAGAGGCGGTAAAGCATTGGCTTACCTCGGGTAAAGATACCATGATTTAACGCTACTTACCGAGGCGGTAAAGCATTGGCTTACCTTGGGTAAAGATACCATGATTTAACGCTACTTACCGAGGCGGTAAAGCATTGGCTTACCTCGGGTAAAGATACCATGATTTAACGCTACTTACCGAGGCGGTAAAGCATTGGCTTACCTCGGGTAAAGATACCATGATTTAACGCTACTTACCGAGGCGGTAAAGCATTGGCTTACCTCGGGTAAAGATACCATGATTTAACACTTCTTATCCATTGTTGTTTTATGTTGTTCAGGATTGTACTGAGAAGTTGTTGTGTCCTTGAACAAGACTTCTTACTGTAATTGCCATGAATGGCTTGCAAGGCACTCCAGGATGGTATTGATTGAAAAAGCAAAGAGACCCCGCCTCAAAATGTGTTTTAGAGGAGACAAACCCAACAAATCACTATTGCTTCATTTCCTTTTTAATTTGCAGCATTTAAAGAAAAATTTTTAAATAGATCTATAAAAATCTGTGTTATCAGTTGATACAGTCATTTCTTATAATATTTGTGTAACTTGTGACTGGTAAAGGTTATATACGTTCACACAATCAAAGAAAAACAAATTCAACCAATACTTTCCTTTACTCTCATATATCTTTGTTCAAATCATGAAAAACTTGTCAAGAAAATAATGTTCCCTTACAATGATGATCTTTGTGTTTTCTGAAAAGGCAGTATATCAAGGTTTCATTTTTAGAGTTTTTAGTCTTATTTAATACTTCTGTATCTCTCTGATTCACCTACAAATGATTCTCAACCTTAATCTGAAATGTGACCAATTTTCCCTGGTTTTGTATTTCAGTGAAGAATCGGTGTGTGGGAGATGAAGGAGAGAAGTGTAGCCATCTTTGTTTGCTAACACCAAATGGTTCTGCCTGTGCATGTCCTGATCACTCTCGGTTTATTGATGACTCAGACACACAATGTGATGCAGGTAGGTTTATCGATGACTCAGACACACAGTGTGACACAGGTAGGTTTATCATTGACTTGGACACATAATGTGACACAAGTAGGTTTATCAATGACTCAGAAACAGTGTGACACAGGTAGGTTTATCAATGACTCAGACACAGTGTGACACAGGTAGGTTTATCGATGACTCAGACACACAGTGTGACACAGGTAGGTTTATCAATTACACAGACACACAGTGTGATACAGGTAGGTTTATCAATGACTCAGACACACAGTGTGACAGAGGTAGGTTTATCATTGACTTGGACACATAATGTGACACAAGTAGGTTTATCAATGACTCAGACACAGTGTGACACAGGTAGGTTTATCAATGACTCAGACACAGTGTGACACAGGTAGGTTTATCAATTACACAGACACACAGTGTGATACAGGTAGGTTTATCAATTACACAGACACACAGTGTGATACAGGTAGGTTTATCAATGACTCAGACACACAGTGTGACACAGGTAAGTTTATTGATGACTCAGACACACAGTGTGACACAGGTAAGTTTATCAATGACTCAGACACACAGTGTGACACAGGTAAGTTTATCAATGACTCAGACACACAGTGTGACACAGGTAAGTTTATCAATGACTCAGACACACAGTGTGACACAGGTAAGTTTATCAATGACTCAGACACACAGTGTGACACAGGTAGGTTTATTGATGGCTCAGGCACACAGTGTGACACAGGTAGGTTTATCAATGACTCAGACACACAGTGTGACACAGGTAAGTTTATCAATGACTCAGACACACAGTGTGACACAGGTAAGTTTATCAATGACTCAGACACACAGTGTGACACAGGTAGGTTTATCAATTACACAGACACACAGTGTGACACAGGTAGGTTTATTGATGGCTCAGGCACACAGTGTGACACAGGTAAATTTATCAATGACTCAGACACAGTGTGACACAGGTAGGTTTATCAATGACACAGACACACAGTGTGACACAGGTAGGTTTATCGATGACTCGGACACACAGGTAGGCTAGTGATATAAAAACTTTATGTTATAAACATCAGTTATTCTACATGTCTTCTTTTTCCAATTCTTCTCATCTGAATGTCAAATTTGACACCTTACAGCTTGGGAAACATCAAAACCTTCCCCATCAAAATGTTCCTGTCTTAACAATGGATTGTGTGTAATGGCTGCCAACAGGACATACAGCTGTCAGTGTATAGAGGGTAAGTCAGACCTCCAAAACTATAAATCACATGGTCGGAAGTTTCTTTAATTTTCTCGAGACCAGATATGGTTAAAATCAGATACTTTTCATGGATTGAAAAACTGACATTGTAAGATGTCCATTGTGAATTTCACGACCCCATGGTCTCATATTTCCCCTCGGGGCAGGAGTAAAATCTGTTTATACAGGAAAATTATATTTACAGGATCAGTTTATTTCTATTGGTAACTATTTAAACTTGGCTAGAACTAGTGTGGTGTAGAACTACATTTTGTTTATATGTATGTACACATATTGACACTAATCTGCTTCTGGAGACCTAAATATGGTGGAATCAAATACTCTTCATAGATTGAAGGGCCTTAAGATGGTTTACTGTGATTGTAAATAATTCAGATCTGGTAGTTCATGTTCTGCATCTTCCACATAGAATTTGCATTATATGTACATTTTGTATTTCATGTCATTTTATTTTGTGATGAAGATGACTTCTTTGGCTTGTGACTGCAAAAAAAATGACTTGTTATAGAAATCAGGTGACCCTTGGGCCTCTTGTTTATTGATGTATTTGTGCTTCAGGCTAAAGTTTTGTACAGTTGTCCCATGTTTACCTGTTTTGTTTTTTAGGCTACACTGGTCGCTACTGTGAAGTTAGTAAACCTGTCAGATTGGTGGTGGAGGATGAATCACCGCGTAAGTTTTTACATGTAGTAGGGATAGGGAAGGGAATGTCTATTTTCTCATTTGTCCTTCTGTACGATGTCAATTTCTCCCTTTAAACTACTTTTTCTCAGTAGTCTAGATGTGCAGGGTTAAGATATTAAAACAGTGAAATGGTGGGATGAACCAAGTTTGTTGAGATGTATGACCTTGTCTTGCATTAAATGTCATGGGGATTGTGTTAGAATCTTCTCTCTAATACAGCGACCAAGAGTAGGTAAACAATACAGATCTGATTTACTGGCAAAACCTGTCTCAGAGCAACATCAAGTGGATATAACTTCATTGATTGACTGACCAATCATTGGTCAGAAGCTAACTGGCATCAAAAACAATTTTGTTCAAATCAGTAACTTCATAGATCAGAGATCCTTATTCAATTCAGACATAGAATTTTGGCCAATCTGGTACAATATCACTACTACCCTGGTACAATATCACTACTACCCTGGTACAATATCACTACTACCCTGGTACAATATCACTACTACCCTGGTACAATATCACTTCTACCCTGGTACAATATCACTACTACCCTGGTACAATATCACTACTACCCTGGTACAATATCACTACTACCCTGGTACAATATCACTACTACCCTGGTACAATATCACTACTACCCTGGTACAATATCTACCCTGGTACAATATCACTACTACCCTGGTACAATATCACTACTACCCTGGTACAATATTTATCACTACTACCCTGGTACAATATCACTACTACCCTGGTACAATATCACTACTACCCTGGTACAATATCACTACTACCCTGGTACAATACTTATCACTACTACCCTGGTACAATATCACTACTACCCTGGTACAATATCACTACTACCCTGGTACAATATCACTACTACCCTGGTACAATATCACTACTACCCTGGTACAATATCACTACTAACCTGGTACAATATCACTACTACCCTGGTACAATATCACTACTACCCTGGTACAATATCACTACTACCCTGGTACAATATCACTACTACCCTGGTACAATATCACTACTCACTACTACTACCCTGGTACAATATCACTACTACCCTGGTACAATATCACTACTACCCTGGTACAATATCACTTCTACCCTGGTACAATATCACTACTACCCTGGTACAATATCACTTCTACCCTGGTACAATATCACTACTACCCTGGTACAATATCACTACTACCCTGGTACAATATCACTACTACCCTGGTACAATATCACTACTACCCTGGTACAATATCACTACTACCCTGGTACAATATCACTACTACCCTGGTACAATATCACTACTACCCTGGTACAATATCACTACTACCCTGGTACAATATCACTACTACCCTGGTACAATATCACTACTACCCTGGTACAATATCACTACTACCCTGGTACAATATCACTACTACCCTGGTACAATATCACTAATACCCTGGTACAATATCACTACTACCCTGGTACAATATCACTACTACCCTGGTACAATATCACTACTACCCTGGTACAATATCACTACTACCCTGGTACAATATCACTACTACCCTGGTACAATATCACTACTACCCTGGTACAATATCACTACTACCCTGGTACAATATCACTACTACCCTGGTACAATATCACTACTACCCTGGTACTATATCACTACTACCCTGGTACAATATCACTACTACCCTGGTACAATATCACTACTACCCTGGTACAATATCACTACTACCCTGGTACAATATCACTACTACCCTGGTACAATATCACTACTACCCTGGTACAATATCACTACTACCCTGGTACAATATCACTACTACCCTGGTACAATATCACTACTACCCTGGTACAATATCACTACTACCCTGGTACAATATACCCACAATATCACTACCCTGGTACAATATCACTACTACCCTGGTACAATATCACTACTACCCTGGTACAATATCACTACTACCCTGGTACAATATCACTACTACCCTGGTACAATACTTATCACTACTACCCTGGTACAATATCACTACTACCCTGGTACAATATCACTTCTACCCTGGTACAATATCACTACTACCCTGGTACAATATCACGACTACCCTGGTACAATATCACTACTACCCTGGTACAATATCACTACTACCCTGGTACAATATCACTACTACCCTGGTACAATATCACTACTACCCTGGTACAATATCACTACTACCCTGGTACAATATCACTACTACCCTGGTACAATATCACTACTACCCTGGTACAATATCACTACTACCCTGGTACAATATCACTACTACCCTGGTACAATATCACTACTACCCTGGTACAATATCACTACTACCCTGGTACAATATCACTACTACCCTGGTACAATATCACTACTACCCTGGTACAATATCACTACTACCCTGGTACAATATCACTACTACCCTGGTACAATATCACTACTACCCTGGTACAATATCACTACTACCCTGGTACAATATCACTACTACCCTGGTACAATATCACTACTACCCTGGTACAATATCACTACTACCCTGGTACAATATCACTACTACCCTGGTACAATATCACTACTACCCTGGTACAATATCACTACTACCCTGGTACAATATCACTACTACCCTGGTACAATATCACTACTACCCTGGTACAATATCACTACTACCCTGGTACAATATCACTACTACCCTGGTACAATATCACTACTACCCTGGTACAATACTTATCACTACTACCCTGGTACAATATCACTACTACCCTGGTACAATACTTATCACTACTACCCTGGTACAATATCACTACTACCCTGGTACAATATCACTACTACCCTGGTACAATATCACTACTACCCTGGTACAATATCACTACTACCCTGGTACAATATCACTACTACCCTGGTACAATATCACTACTACCCTGGTACAATATCACTACTACCCTGGTACAATATCACTACTACCCTGGTACAATATCACTACTACCCTGGTACAATATCACTACTACCCTGGTACAATATCACTACTACCCTGGTACAATATCACTACTACCCTGGTACAATATCACTACTACCCTGGTACAATATCACTACTACCCTGGTACAATATCACTACTACCCTGGTACAATATCACTTCTACCCTGGTACAATATCACTACTACCCTGGTACAATATCACTACTACCCTGGTACAATATCACTACTACCCTGGTACAATATCACTTCTACCCTGGTACAATATCACTACTACCCTGGTACAATATCACTACTACCCTGGTACAATATCACTACTACCCTGGTACAATATCACTACTACCCTGGTACAATATCACTACTACCCTGGTACAATATCACTACTACCCTGGTACAATATCACTACTACCCTGGTACAATATCACTACTACCCTGGTACAATATCACTACTACCCTGGTACAATATCACTACTACCCTGGTACAATATCACTACTACCCTGGTACAATATCACTACTACCCTGGTACAATATCACTACTACCCTGGTACAATATCACTACTACCCTGGTACAATATCACTACTACCCTGGTACAATATCACTACTACCCTGGTACAATATCACTACTACCCTGGTACAATATCACTACTACCCTGGTACAATATCACTACTACCCTGGTACAATATCACTACTACCCTGGTACAATATCACTACTACCCTGGTACAATATCACTTTTACTCTGGTACAATATCACTACTAACCTGGTACAATATCACTTCTACCCTGTGTACAACATCACTACTACCCTGGTACAATATCACTACTACCCTGGTACAATATCACTACTACCCTGGTACAATATCACTACTACCCTGGTACAATATCACTACTACCCTGGTACAATATCACTACTACCCTGGTACAATATCACTACTACCCTGGTACAATATTACTACAAACCTGGTACAATATCACTACTACCCTGGTACAATATCACTACTACCCTGGTACAATATCACTACTACCCTGGTACAATATCACTACTACCCTGGTACAATATCACGACTACCCTGGTACAATATCACTACTACCCTGGTACAATATCACTACTACCCTGGTACAATATCACTACTACCCTGGTACAATATCACTACTACCCTGGTACAATATCACTACTACCCTGGTACAACATCACTACTACCCTGGTACAATATCACTACTACCCTGGTACAATATCACTACTACCCTGGTACAATATCACTACTACCCTGGTACAATATCACTACTACCCTGGTACAATATCACTACTACCCTGGTACAATATCACTACTACCCTGGTACAATATCACTACTACCCTGGTACAATACCCTGGTACAATATCACTACTACCCTGGTACAATATCACTACTACCCTGGTACAATATCACTACTACCCTGGTACAATATCACTACTACCCTGGTACAATATCACTACTACCCTGGTACAATATCACTACTACCCTGGTACAATATCACTACTACCCTGGTACAATATCACTACTACCCTGGTACAATATCACTACTACCCTGGTACAATATCACTACTACCCTGGTACAATATCACTACTACCCTGGTACAATATCACTACTACCCTGGTACAATATCACTACTACCCTGGTACAATATCACTACTACCCTGGTACAATATCACTACTACCCTGGTACAATATCACTACTACCCTGGTACAATATCACTACTACCCTGGTACAATATCACTACTACCCTGGTACAATATCACTGCTACCCTGGTACAATATCACTACTACCCTGGTACAATATCACTACTACCCTGGTACAATATCACTACTACCCTGGTACAATATCACTACTACCCTGGTACAATATCACTACTACCCTGGTACAATATCACTACTACCCTGGTACAATATCACTACTACCCTGGTACAATATCACTACTACCCTGGTACAATATCACTACTATCACGACTACCCTGGTACAATATCACTACTACCCTGGTACAATATCACTACTACCCTGGTACAATATCACTACTACCCTGGTACAATATCACTACTACCCTGGTACAATATCACTACTACCCTGGTACAATATCACTACTACCCTGGTACAATATCACTACTACCCTGGTACAATACTTATCACTACTACCCTGGTACAATATCACTACTACCCTGGTACAATATCACTACTACCCTGGTACAATATCACTACTACCCTGGTACAATACTTATCACTACTACCCTGGTACAATATCACTACTACCCTGGTACAATACTTATCACTACTACCCTGGTACAATATCACTACTACCCTGGTACAATATCACTACTACCCTGGTACAATATCACTTCTACCCTGGTACAATATCACTACTACTCTGGTACAATATCACTACTAACCTGGTACAATATCACTTCTACCGGCAGACGTAAGTTGGTGGTGGTGAACATGTTCCTAAAATATGTTAATATATATGTAATATATAATGTAGATGTAAATGTACTCTTAAATATTCATATGTCTTCATGAATAAGCATGAGTGTGGAAAACAGCATTAAAGCTCAATGGTATATTTCCAAACCACCAAATAAAAAAAAGAAATGCTTCTTTATCAGGAAATTGTTGCTGAAAGCAAAAGACCTAAAGCCAGGTGTTGGTACAGCTGTAACCTACAGAGAGGGAGGAAACATTCAGATTTCATCGCCACCATTTACTTACGATCAGACAACAACAGATACAGTAAGTTCCAGATACAGGGAGAATGGAAACATACAGTTCTCATCTCTGTCATTTACTTACGATCAGACAACATCAGATACAGTAAGTTCCAGATACAGGGAGAATGGAAACATACAGTTCTCATCTCTGTCATTTACTTACGATCAGACAACATCAGATACAGTAAGTTCCAGATACAGGGAGAATGGAAACATACAGTTCTCATCTCTGTCATTCACATAAAAACAGAAAACTTTATATTTTTTGTGTTTTTCTTCAGTGATATGAGATAACACAACAAAATTGTATCTAAAGCTATGTTTCTGACCGGTTGTTATAAATAATGTTACCAGGATACAACACAGCCTTACAGCCCGGGGGTCCCAGGGAGTCAGGAGGGAGGAATGGCCTTCACGACCTTCAGTAACCCTATGTACTTTAAAGAGGACAAACAAGGAGAGAAATCCAGCCCTACTTCATCCCCCGCCACAACCCAATCAGGAAGTGATGCCAAGCAGGATAATGTATCATTTGATGACATTAATTTCCAAAGTGACAGCACGTAACCATGACAATAGTTGCCTTGGAAACTATATTACCAAAGAGACTCATGTGTGCCACATTTTATATGAACATCTTCTGATTTAGTTTTTTTATAATAAAAATACAAAAACTTGTATGTTTCTTCTTTGTATTATGAAGTTTCAGGAATGTCAGGGGGAAAAGAAAAATTCATCGGGTTTATTTGCTACGATTAGGTTCTGGTTAATTCTAACACAGCAGGAATAGTTATCCTTATTTCTCATTTCTATGGAAAAAGATTGTTTGGATCACTAGTTTTGTCATATAGGTTATGTCTTTGTCACCTAACAGTTCTATTTATATAGAGATAATCTATAAATAGCTGTATGTATTTTCAAAAAGATTATAACACTCACATATCTATTACACTTAAATAAATTTGTTCTTTTTTGTCATTAGTAAACAGTGCTATAAGCTTTTTCCATACTGCTGAACAGATTTTGAGGAAAAGTCAACAACAGTCAGTAACAAATCTATACAAATTGGGGATCAGATGTTGCACTTGACAAAAGGCTGAACAGATACTGGAGTTATAAACTTTTTAGGTCACCTGAGACAGTCTCAGAAATTAACATTTTTTACTTCTGCTCAAAAACCCTTGATCTGATTTCAATTAAAATTTGTAGAAACCTTCCCCATCCTAAGATGAAGCAACATTGTGAATTATACTGTCCCCACCCTCCAGGGGCCTGAGAGTCAAGGCCAAATTGAAGAGCGGAGGATGACAGCTTGATGGTATACCCTTTTTGATCCTGACTGACCCCAAGGGGCTGATGGGCAGGCCAAAAGGGGTTAAATTGACTTGGATTTCAAAAATCGTCTTCTCAAGACCGAGATATGGTAGTATCAAATACTTTTCATCGTCAGGTGCTTTACCAAAATTGTGCCCCAGGGTCTCCCATTTCCCTGTGGGAATGGGGTAATGATTACTATAATTTATATAAGAAAACTAGATTTTTGGGCATGTTTTGTTCAATTTCCATTGGAAATATTTCAAACTTGGTTAGAATTATGAGTGAAGTATGACTGACCTCCAGGGGCTGATGGTGGGGCCAAAAGAGGTCAAATTGCATTTTTGAGCTCAACGTTGGTTATTGCATATTGGAATTAACTTTATTAGAATTCTCAGTACAGGATGACAGTTTTGATGGTATGCAAGTATTGGCACTGGCTTTCTATGTTCAGTGTCACAATTTGTTTCATGACACTTGATAAGTACCTTTAACCTTTGTATTCCATATTGCTTATCTCAGGTGGTCGTCAAGGCTGCTAGGCCTCTTGTTAGGTCATCCACCGTGCGTAAAATTTCACATGATGACTTCTCCATAACCAGAAGGCTCAGGGTACTGATATTGGGCCTGTAGCTTGCTAGGATCAAGGGCTGCCAACTTATTATGTTTTAACTTCAATATAAGCAACGATTTAAAATGATAGTTTGTGAGCTTTTAGAAATGTCTACTTACTTTATCAAGTAAAGAGAGCAAATGATTGAGTGTGACAACAGGTCTCTCATCATCATAGTGCAAGGTCAGCCGTCAAATTCCTTTGGTATATCGTATATATACAATGGTTAGCTGGTATCAATGTGGACCTATTTAAGTAACACAGTTTGTATAATACCACTATATCATCGACCGGTGATGTTGGTTGAATTGGTACTGAATCAGATAACACTTTTTACATTAAAGTGTTGTACTTGTGACTGGATTATTACTGACAGGAAACATCACACAATGGTCATACATCTTTGATTTGTAAAACTCAGATCTCAGGAGGTCTATTAGGGTCACGGAGAAATCAATGTAAACTCTGAGATAAGGAAGTCTGTCAGGGTTACAGAGAAGTCAGTGTAAATTATGACCTAAGGAAGTATGTAAGGGTTGTAGAGAAGTCAGTGTAAAGTCTGACCTAAGGAAGTCTGTCAGGGTTACAGAGAAGTCAGTGTAAACTCTGACCTAAGGAAGTATGTAAGGGTCGTAGAGAAGTCAGTGTAAACTCTGACCTAAGGAAGTATGTCAGGGTTACAGAGAAGTCAGTGTGTAAACTCTGATCTAAGGAAGTCTGCCAGGGTCATAGAGAAGTCAGTGTAAACTCTGATGTAAGGAAGTCTGTATGGGTCATAGAGAAGTCAGTGTAAACTCTGACCTAAGGAAGTATGTAAGGGTCGTAGAGAAGTCAGTGTAAAGTCTGACCTAAGGAAGTATGTAAGGGTCGTAGAGAAGTCAGTGTAAACTCTGACCTAAGGAAGTCTGTCAGGGTCATAGAGAAGTCAGTGTAAACTCTGATGTAAGGAAGTCTGTATGGGTCATAGAGAAGTCAGTGTAAACTCTGATGTAAGGAAGTCTGTATGGGTCATAGAGAAGTCAGTGTAAACTCTGACCTAAGGAAGTATGTAAGGGTCGTAGAGAAGTCAGTGTAAAGTCTGACCTAAGGAAGTATGTAAGGGTCGTAGAGAAGTCAGTGTAAACTCTGACCTAAGGAAGTATGTCAGGGTCACAGTGAAGTCAGTGTAAACTCTGACCTAAGGAAATCTGCCAGGGTCACAAAGAATTCAGTGTAAACTCTGACCTATGGAAGTATGTAAGGGTCGTAGAGAAGTCAGTGTAAACTCTGACCTAAGGAGGTATGTCAGGGTTACAGAGAAGTTAGTGTAAACTCTGACCTAAGGAAGTCTGCCAGGGTCACAAAGAATTCAGTGTAAACTCTGACCTAAGGAAGTATGTAAGGGTCGTAGAGAAGTCAGTGTAAACTCTGTCCGAAGGACATTTTCCAAGGTCACAGAGAGGTCAGACTAAAGTCTGACCTATGGAAGTCTGTCAGGGTTACAGAGAAGTAATTGTAAACTCCGACCTAAAAAAGTCTGTCAGGGTCACAGAGAAATCAGTGTAAACACTGACCTTAGGAAGGCTGTCAGGGTCACAGAGATGTCAGTGTAAACTCTGACCTAAGGAAGTCTGTCAGGGTCAGAGAGAAGTCAGTGTAAACTCTGACCTAAGAAAGTCTGTCAGGGTCTCAGTGAAGTCAGTGTCAAATCTGACCTCAGGAAGGCTGCCAGGGTTAGAGAAGTCAGTGTAAACTCTGATTTAAGGAAGTCTGTATGGGTCATAGAGAAGTCAGTGTAAACTCTGACCTAAGGAAGTATGTAAGGGTCGTAGAGAAGTCAGTGTAAAGTCTGACCTAAGGAAGTATGTAAGGGTCGTAGAGAAGTCAGTGTAAACTCTGACCTAAGGAAGTATGTCAGGGTCACAGTGAAGTCAGTGTAAACTCTGACCTAAGGAAGTCTGCCAGGGTCACAAAGAATTCAGTGTAAACTCTGACCTAAGGAAGTATGTAAGGGTCGTAGAGAAGTCAGTGTAAACTCTGACCTAAGGAAGTATGTCAGGGTCTCAGTGAAGTCAGTGTAAACTCTGACCTAAGGAAGGCTGCCAGGGTTAGAGAAGTCAGTGTAAACTCTGATGTAAGGAAGTCTGTATGGGTCATAGAGAAGTCAGTGTAAACTCTGACCTAAGGAAGTATGTAAGGGTCGTAGAGAAGTCAGTGTAAAGTCTGACCTAAGGAAGTATGTCAGGGTCGTAGTGAAGTCAATGTAAACTCTGACCTAAGGAAGTCTGCCAGGGTCACAAAGAATTCAGTGTAAACTCTGACCTAAGGAAGTATGTAAGGGTCGTAGAGAAGTCAGTGTAAACTCTGACCTAAGGAAGTATGTCAGGGTCACAGTGAAGTCAGTGTAAACTCTGACCTAAGGAGGTATGTCAGGGTTACAGAGAAGTTAGTGTAAACTCTGACCTAAGGAAGTCTGCCAGGGTCACAAAGAATTCAGTGTAAACTCTGACCTAAGGAAGTATGTAAGGGTCGTAGAGAAGTCAGTGTAAACTCTGACCGAAGGACGTTTTCCAAGGTCACAGAGAGGTCAGACTAAAGTCTGACCTATGGAAGTCTGTCAGGGTTACAGAGAAGTAATTGTAAACTCCGACCTAAGAAAGTCTGTCAGGGTCACAGAGAAATCAGTGTAAACACTGACCTTAGGAAGGCTGTCAGGGTTACAGAGATGTCAGTGTAAACTCTGACCTAAAGAATTCTGTCAGGGTCAGAGAGAAGTCAGTGTAAACTCTGACCTAAGAAAGTCTGTCAGGGTCTCGGAGAAGTCAGTGTAAACTCTGACCTTAGCAAGGCTGTCAGGGTCAGAGAGAAGTCAGTGTAAACTGACTTAAGAAAGTCTGTCAGGGTCACAGAGAAGTCAGTGTAAACTCTGACCTTAGCAAGGCTGTCAGGGTCACAGAGAAGTCAGTGTAAACTCTGACCTAAGGAAGTCTGTCAGGGTCATAGAGAAGTCAGTGTAAACTCTGACCAAAGGAAGTCTATCAGGGTTACAGAGAGGTCAGTGTAAACTCTGACCTAAGGAATTTTGCAAGGGTCTATAAGAAGTCAGTATAAACTCTGATCTAAGGACGTTTTCCAAGGTCATAGAGAGGTCAGAGTAAAGTCTGACCTAAGGAAGGCTGCCAGGGTTACAGAGAAGTCAGTGTAAACTCTGACCTAAGGAAGTCTGTCAGGGTCACAGTGAAGTCAGGGTAAACTCTGACCTTAGGAAGTCTGTCAGGGGCACAGAGAAATAATTGTAAACTCTGACCTAAGGAAGTCTGTCAGGGTTACAGAGAAGTCAGTGTACACTTTCTCCATACTAACCAACCCATTTATTCCTTCAATTCATTCTCATCCAGTGATATTAGCTTCTAGCTACATAGTCGTACAATGTGCAACTTAAAGTTGAGTATGGCACAAAAGAACCTCCAAACATTAAAGAGTTGCTCAGTAATAGAATGCTTGATGTCAACAGAGAACAGACTTGAGCACAAGTACAAAAGTTGAGTTTGATCATGGAAATAGCTTTGTGAATTTGGGACCTGGTCAAAGGAAGACTGGGATAAAGGACTGTCATCAAGGCCAACTCATACCCCCTACTCCACCACCAACAGAAGTCTCA